TTTCATCCCTAACATATATGTATACCTAGAGCTCTAACAAAATTAAGTTTATATCTAACAGATTTCAACTAATCCTAGTAATTTCTCGTTTAATAGATATTGATTCAGCTTGTGGAAAACCCCGTCTGAATTATTTAATATTTGTGTGTGTGTAAAAATGTTATCTTCGTTTAATTTTTGCCGTGGGAAAAGGGGGGAAGTTGCCGCCCTTGCCTTCCCCTCTGGGTACGCTCTTGAACTGAATGGTGGCTTTTCGATCAATGGAGACCATTCTGACAAGTCAATCACGACAACATCTATAACTCGTAAAAATTCTTCTTGCTGTAGTGACAAATTTTTCAGATTTATGGATGAATGCAACATGAAACATAACGCATATTCAGAACCATTCTTCGTGTGTCCTATATAAAATCCTTAGCTGGCTGAAGACATAAATTTCCTGTATCCATTCAGTGGAGATTTCGCGTGTGGGTTTTCAGTTACATACATTCGTATGCATAAACGACATGCACTCTCACTACACACGTCGTATTTATGCTACACCTCTTTGAAAACCCACTCACAGCTCACAGCAGCGTGGAGGGTTTTTCATGCCCACCGAACACCAAAACGCGATGGGAGAGACAAATTTTTCAAGGTTCTTCTTTGTCAATGGTTCTCGGCTGGCTGCATTTTTTTGTCTGTGAGCTGCTTTTGTTTTTTGTCAACGTGCACTGCACATATTGTACGGGAGAGCTCGAGAGCGGAAAGCGGAAAGCCTGTACGGAATTACTGAACAGTTTTTTTTTGAACCAGATACTGAGAACAAACCTCATAGTGTTGTCGCTTTGTGCAAATATACGGGGTGGGGTGTTTCCATATTGAATGTCAATATTTAAGGGAGCAATTTTTAGGTACATTAGAGGAAGAAAACTACATATGATTAATCTCGTAACTTTTGAGCTACAAGGTAGTAAAATAAATCGTTTACTGTTAATGTCTGTAAATACTACTTTAGATATTTTAATGAAATTTGGCATACCTGTACTATGTATTATGTATCAAGAGACATTTTTTGATGTACTATATTTTTTTTATTTCCACCAGTGACGTCGGTACGCAATTTCACCTGCCTATTTTGGCAGCCACGAAACTGATTACTCTTAAAATAAAAAATATTCTTGATATTCCCAATCATTTCTAAGCGAATATGATCGCTTGATTTTTCCAATCCGATGCATAGTTTTTCGCTTAAAAGAAATCAAAGCTGTTTCTCTGTATGATCATAACAATATCGTTAATATGACATCACCTTGCACAGAAATAGCTTTGCTGTTTTTAGGTGAAAACCGTGCGACTGAAAAAAAAAACAAGAGATTAAATCTGCTCTTAAATTAGTACAGATTTCAATTTTTAAGAGTATATTAATTGGGTCGCTACAGGTTGAAATCGAAAAAAAATTTGTGGAATAAGTCGAAACATATGAAGTTTTCAGTTACCAAACTGTGACTACAACCGCAGCATGTAAATGATTTTGTTGAAAGACTGTTATTTTTTGAATAATTTTACGCCTTTATTAAAATAGCATTCTTTGAAAATAAAAGATTTTAACAAAATTATAAATTGTCTGCTAATAAATTAATAGCATTTGTGAAAACATAGAAACTTGTTGAAATTGCCCTTCACCTTGGAGGATACTCGCTTCTGCTCTTTTTCTCAAATTGTCGCGCACACTTTGAAGTACAGAAACCAGTATTTCTTATTAAATCACAGGAAGCTTTTATTCGATCCGTCAGCTCTTCTAAAGTGTTTACTGGGGTGCGGTAAACCAGACTTAAAGATGCCCCCATAAGAAAATATCCAAACTATTCAAATCTGGGGGCCTAGGGGGTCATGGTTGGCGTCCGCCACCCATCGGTCATGAATGGCCGCTAGGAACATAAAATTAGAAATGGCATTATTTCCAAACATTGATAATAATTAACATACAATCGATAGTATTCGTATTTTGCGCCATTTTTTTAACACTTTCGTAGTTCGATAGGCCCTAAGGTCATTTCAGAAAAAGTAGGATGGATTTATCGATTTATTGCGCATTTCTAACAGTGGTTAGGTTTAGTCAGTTTTCTTATTTTTTCACCGTTTTTCTAAATTTCATCGAAAATTTCAAATATAATGGTTTTATTAACAACTTAACAGCTTTCCAGAAAAAATATGTGTACAATATATTTTTTGTTTTGTAGTGCCTAAATAAGCTAATTATGTAGACTGTACCACTTGTATGTATCGATGTATTATTCTTCATTATTCGGAACTCGCATGAAAAAATCTACAAACTAGTGAAAACCGCATGTCAGCTTCAGTCGTAATGAAGTTATGAATAAAAATAGAATTTATTTAAAATGTTCATGCAAAGCATTGAGGCCATGAAGCTGAAAATATGTAATTTCCCACAATTTCTCTTTGTCGCTTTATTAATTTTTTAACCGATAGCTCTAGGTTGAGTAGTTGCCGAGATACAGCCGGAGTCCTTTATTTGTGATACAAAAAGAAGGTAAATACATATATGAATATAGAATGAAGACTTTAAAAAAAAACTGTTTTTGAAGGCCATTTTTCAATATAGCACGTGAGCGAAAATATAAGGATATTACTAAATATATACTTTTTTAGGGAAACAAGTAATTATTGAAATTTTTTCGCCTAGGAACGTATTTTTAAAAAATCACGTTTTCTTATTCCCCTGTATAAAATAATGAGAGAAATCTTTCTCAGTCTATCTTCATCTTTGAGTCAACGTGTATTATTTACAGTTACAATCGACCTCTGAAACCTGTCCTTCCATAAGACGTTGACTAACTTGTTCTCTTCCACGAACGACTAATGTATTCTAATAAGCATTTTACTTCTTATGCGACCATCGACCAGCATTTTTCCTCCGCTTTCTTGACGTAACGGTGTTGATCACTCAATTTATGCACATTTGTGTAGCTTTTTCTATGCCTTTGTATTAAATTATTGAAATATATTCGACGCTTCTGGTTATAACACCTCCTGTATGAATCTATGAATTATATGAAGTACAAATGAGGATTACGAGTCATAAATCAGCATATATGGTTCAAATTTGGTCCGAAAATCAATATTGACTAATAAAAAAGGTTTTTTGGTGTAATGGATCCAATGAATAAACTGTATTTATTCTAAAAATATACGTTCCAAGCTAGCTAGTAGTTTTTAGCTACAAAAACCTAGACAAATCTGTACATTCGAACGAAATTTTGGTGTCCTCAGAAAATAATTATTTCATTTAGATCGCCAGTGACGAATCAGCCGTAATATAGTATTGCTATTTCTTGCATTGCTCAAAAACTATATTTTTGGTGAACTGAATAAATGTATATTTGTTTCCGTTTTTTGAGAAAAACATACTTGTTTCAATACCGAACTTATCGATTTACTCTACAGGTGTGCTTTAAAAAATTCTATTAAATTCCAAAACTGTACTGAAACAAAGCTGTTTTCCTTTTTCAAAAACGCTGTTTTGATGTCTTATAAGATCAATTTTTTTCTGCTAAAGGCTAAAATCAGATTAAAATATGGAATCTGGAACATCCTGCTAAATGCGCACATATTGAAAATGGCTTCATCATATCGATTTATTGGAGATCCAAGCATTCAAGATGAAGTGGATGTAAACACAACGCTCGTGATACTCCAAAGGTGAATTGGACAGGGTCGTATTCAGATTCGTCTGAGTGATACCAACATTTTGTCAATGAAAGATGCTATAAATGAATCTTTAGTTTACAGTTAGCAAGAAACCTGTACCCACTATGCGTAATATAACATGATGATTATTATTTTTTCAATTTTGCACGATGCACGTTACGCAAACGCCTGTTTTTTGTTGTGTTCGAATTACAATCTCACTTCAGTATGCTTAGTTCATTAATAGTTCTCTTTACCAAAACTCAGATTGAATGAGGTATGGTTTTTTTCATCCCCGTAGCCCAACTTTAGATGTGTGAGATTTGATTTCACTTGCAGCTTTGGGTTAAATTTATTTTTGTTTATGTTCTAAATCCGCCGAATTCAAATTATGATATTTTTAACTTTGCTTACAATTATATTAAGATTTGATAAATATGTGAGTCATGTATCAAAAAGCACCCACTATAAATCAAAACTACTACTATGCTAATAGATTCATTTCGAATTTTAAAACGCGAAAAAACTAAATAGTTTGATATTGCTTTAATTCTATATTATCCTTGTCTTGACTAGAAGAATCTGTATAGAATCCAAAGTATGAAATTACCTGCTTTAGGTTGGTGTATGGTATTCGAAAATATAGACATATCTCCTGTAAGATCAAGGAGTTGAAATGTCTGAAAATTGATCGACAATTTGAATGTAATCTTAAGGTATTTGTACATAAGATGATAAGTACTAAAAAGACTATTTATCTCCATAGTAAATAAATAGAGAAATCATTAATCTTAGAGATCTGAGGCATAATAATAACCTTAAAATGTCTTTGCTCTACACCACATTATTTGAAAAATGTTTTAGTGAGGTTATACAACTCAACCGACCCTGCCTGGAGAAGTAAACCTTTTTTAACATCCAGGAAGCTAGTTAAGCTATTTCTGTTGTGATTATCTGTTGTGATCTTTTTTTTTGTATTTTCATCCAATCATTATTAGTCATCACCTGGTTCCTTTTTGGTAAACCAAAATAGACTGAATTTGTCAATTGAATATGTTTTTTTCTCTTTCATTAGTTCACTCATTTGAACATCAAATCGACTTATTTATTTTTAGGTTGGTATGTACATATTTCCTCCCACAATAGGGTTGGGTGTAACTGGGTAAACTTCGCCTTGTTGTGATTCTAATAAAGACAACTTATTATTATTATATTCTTGCGGTGATCCAGGTCAGCACACTACATCTATAGCTGATGCGATCGCGTTAACTTGTTCATGTTTTTTTACTCTACATTATAATTTTGTTGCAGTACCGGGGACGACCACCCTTTCTACGATTCGCGAACAGCTGGAGGGGGCGGAGCGACGCCGTCCCGCGGCTCCGCCTCCTGTCGATCGCGGGACCGTGATAGAGACCGCCCCCCTTACACAACAAACGGCCCCACCTACCAGGACAGCAGGCAATCGGCGCGTCACGGCCGAAGCAGCGGCCAACCTGCGGGCGGAGGTGGTACCGGAAATGGTGGGGGCGGAGGCGGTACCGGGGGTGGGAGCGGGGCCGGTGGGGGCGGCGGAGGAGGAATCGCCAGTCAGGGAGGCGGAGCAGGCACTGCTACAACTGCCACGGTGCCCTCAGCTACCCAGGCGACGACGACGGCAGGAGGCCAGCCGTGGGCTTATGACGGAACCAATAGGTAAGCATATGTTCAAAATTATTATATGATGATCAAAAAAACTTGAGGATTTTTGAATAGTTGATTTTCGTATACATTCCGACATGCTCTTTCCAGATTTTCACTTTTTTATCTAGTAATTTAACCGCTTGCTCTACCATATTGGAAAAAATGGCACACAAAAAGTATTTTTATTTCTACAGTGAGAAGTATATTAGGAAATAATCCCTATAATTTGTGTATCTATGATTATTTGTAGGATAGATATTTATAGCAAACGGACATGGCAAAGTTTACTCTAGGTATATACAAGAAAACGTTCATTGCTTCAATGATTGAATAGTTTTATCTGGAAAGTTTTGGATGAGTTTTAAAAATCCTTCCTCCCAAAGATTCCGTGCTCTTTCCAAATTTTCTCATTTCTGTCTGGTATCCTTGTCGATATGTTGGAAAAATGATGTCCACAAATATAATTGCTGTGTTTTGAGGAAATTTTCCTCGAAGGAAGACTTATTAATTAAGCGTATTGTCAAAACATGATCTAAACAATATTATGGAGAGTATTTTTTCATTATGGCAGCGCGAGTGCAAAGTAAAAATTCAATAAGAGCAAGAACAATAAGAACAGTAATTTGAATGAGTTTCCCAATTCGAATCACTGAAACAACGTACGATTTCTAACTTAAACTTAGCGTATGCCGCAACTATTCATTCCAAAAAATGATGGACAAAATAAGAAGAAAACTACTTGTAGTTTAATTAGGCGTACTGGGATATTTATTGTAAATTGCACCATTTTCAAATCTATGCATCATTTTAACTTCCCCAACACTCGCTAGGCCATACTGCCGAATAATTGGATCTTAGGCACTAAATGTCATCACAATCGTGATTGTCAAATAAATTGATCCGTTTTCTAAATATTGCAATTTATTTTTTCGTAGGTATAATAGTAGTAGTACGAGTCAGTCAGATACAGGGTATAGTACGACGCCGTCAGATAATAGTGACAGGCGTAGTTCAGATCAAAGTTCAAAAAAGACCAAGACCAAGTCCAGGTCCGGATCGAGGTCACCGTCACCCACACCTAGCACCAGCAGTCGATCTCCATCTAGGTAAGTAATTTTGTTTTTGTATTGTTTCAGTGTTAAGTGGCAGAGTAGCATTATGCTAAACTTCGCCCCTAATAAAGGCAATTTAATTTTATTATCTATTTTATGTATGTGCCAACTTACATGGTTGAAGTAAATGTGTCATCTTGGTTGCAGGTCGCGCAGTCGCAGCACAAGCAGCAGCGCGTCGTCCTCCTCGTCGGCGTCGACGGCGGCCGGCAGCGCCAGTACAGCCGTCGTGTCGTCCTCCGCCGCCCCCACGTTAGGCTCCGCCCATTCGCACCCTCACCACTATCACCACCACCATGCGACAGCTACGCCTACATCCACCGAAGGGGGCGGCGCTACGACCACGGGAGATCGACGCCCATTGGCCATCTGCGTCAGAAACCTGCCTGCGCGATCATCGGACACCTCTCTCAAGGACGGTCTCTACCACGAGTACAAGAAACACGGCAAGGTCACTTGGGTCAAAGTTGTCGGACAGGATGCTGACCGGTACGCCGTCGTTTGTTTCAAGAAGGCTGAAGATGTTGATAAGGCGCTTGAGGTGAGTTGGAATAATATGCAAAATAATAATTTTTGAGGAAAGTGAAGGTCTCCAATGCTATGCAAAGAAAAATGGGCAATAATATATGGTTTGTAGTAATCCAACTTATTAGCAATAAATCATCTCGTTTGAAAGATCTTTTTGTTTAGAATAAGAAATACCATGGCGATTTTTCCGACCGGAGTATTTATGATGTTTATGTCGCTTGCCACTAAAGTATTTGCACGTGTGATATTTATTCCTTTATAAACTCGAAATATCGTTATTTCTGTGGGTGTCCGGTATCAGATAATAACACGTAAAAATAAATACCATAATAATTACAATTTTCACATTTCGGCGTAATGTTTCCATTTGAAAATACCTATCGTCTTGATCTAGGAATCAAAATGTCGAATCGCCTTTCTGAAGAATCATGCCTTGATTTGATAGTACTGTTTTACGAGGTTTTTATCTTTGCAGGTGAGCTACGACAAGCTGTTTTTCGGCTGCAAGATCGAGGTGGCGCCCTATACAGGGTGTTACGACGTGGACGATAACGACGCCCGCTCCTATGAAGCGGACGTCGATGAGTACCACCCGAAAGCGACCAGGACGTTGTTCATAGGCAATTTGGAGAAGGACGTCACTGCGTCGGAACTCAGGAAACACTTCGATCAGTTTGGAGAGATCATCGAAATTGACATCAAAAAGCAGGTAGGATTTTTGGCACTTTTCTCTCAAGTCTAATCTAGCTCTTATCGGCTTGACAGCTGGTCAAGTTCAGTAACTCGGAACAAATATATTGAACTGTAACATTTTCTTGAAAGATCTGTTCATTTTTTCCGAGTAAAAGGTCTTGGTAGGTTGGAAAAAGTTTATTTGTTGAAGATTTATTCAGCATTAATTCTACAATGTCAATTTTGTATAATTATTCGCTTACATATTTTTCTTCAATCCATTTTCTGTAATTTTACATTCTGGTCTCTTAAAATTACATCACTATGCATTTTGATTATTCGTAAAATGATTTTTTAATTTCGCCTTAAACATTTTTAAATTCGAACAGTGTTTAATATCATTATTCAATTTATTAAATTCAAATACTCCCTTTTGAACTATAGATTTACTAGTTATGCTATTATTACAACATTGTAGATGAAAATCTATACTGCCTCTAGTTTCGTAGTTATGATAACGACTATTTAATTTTGTGAAGTTTTCTAAATGTGGTGGTAATCAATGATTCTTTTATTTGAATATGAAAACGAGAACTAAATAACATATGAAATTTTTCACATTCAACCACTGTAGTTCTTCTAACATAGACTTAATTCTAGGATATTTGTGTTTATTTAAAATGATTCTCATAGCTTTATTTTGTAGAATTAGTAATTTTGAAACTATGTTTTTATTTGTTGTAAACAAGATGGTTGAACAATATAAAAAATATGGAAGAATTATAGTGTTATACACAATTTTTTGGAATACATACTGAGATTATGGGAACCTCTATAGAAGTAATTTATTTTTTTTTTGTATTCTTGAAATGATGTATTTATTTATAATGCTCGTGAAACAGTAGTTTACTATCCACATATATGCCAAGATGATTCGACTACTTCAATTTTTTCATCATTAATCATGAGCTTAATTGTATCGTCATCTAAATGTTTCCCTATTGACATACATTTTGTTTTATTAGTGTTTAAGTTTATTAACATTTAACCAATTCATATTTTTTTTAATATCACTATTTAACAGTTCTAAAGCAGTTGCAAATGCTTATGTGCTGTATATATAAGTATATATATATATATATATATATATATATATATATATTTATATATATATATAAATATATATATATTTATATATATATATTAATGCATTGTCCTGAAATATTTGAATATTGCAGAGTTCTAAAATGTCAGAGATATCATTTATATACGAGTAAATAATAAATAGCAACGGGCCTAATTTTCTCCCCTGTGGCACCCCTACTGATATATTTTGAACTCTTGACATAATATTTCCAACTTTAGATTTTTGATTTCTATTTACTAAATAATTTTGTAAAATGTTTAATACTGATCCGTTAACGCCATAGTGATTCAATTTCATTAACAATTTTTCCCTGTCTGTAGTCTCAAATGCCCTTTTGAAGTCCAAAATATGTTACTGTTACAATACCTACATTCTTTCTCATCTATACATTTTCTCCAGTCTTCCACCACCATTTGGATTGCTGTTTCTGTAGAATATTTTTTTCTAAATCCAGCTTGATTTTTTGTCAAAATTTTGGTTTCTTCATTGAATTCAATGATTTGTTCGTATATTATCCCTTCGAACAGCTTCTAGACATCTGGCAAGACATTAATCGGTCGCATATTTGTATACATCTGAGAATGTTGAACTTTTGGCACAGGAGTAATAGTGGAACACTTTAATTTTGATGGGAATTCACCATGTACTAAACAATGATTCACCAATAATAATAATTTCTCTCCAATTATATTGAAACAATCATTTAGAATATTTTTTGAGAGATTCTCACTTGGATTTGTATTAGATTTCAATTCCGATATAGCTTTTCTTAGATTGTTGATGTTAATTGTCCTAAATTCATTCATTGATGAATTATGACATACTTGTAATGGACGTAAGTTTGGATCACCGTCATCAATCGTCGCCACTATTTGATTTACACTTTCTTTAAAATAAGTGTTCATTCTGTCTGCTATAATTAATTTTTTTATCACTACCCCATCTTCGAAACGCATTTTAGATAATTCGGTCTTTCTATTAGGAGAAACAATCTTTAATGCTTTCCACATCATTTTATTGCTATCGATCTTCTTATCATAGTATTTTTGCGTCGGATTTGGATGAGATTTTTACGCAATGTTACTACAATTTCAAGGACGAGAAACTTGTAATTTTTCAAAATCGGTCCAGTGGCGACGGAGAAAAAGGTCGAAAACGTTTCTTAGGGTCCTGATAATTTTCTGAGAAAAATTTTATGGGTTTAAAAAGTTGAGGCTGGAGGGTTGTAAGAGGGTGGGGGAGCTTGTATCGCAATTGTTAATAGTATATTAATACACTTCCAACCCCGATAATTCTACACACTTATCAGACATATTTGACCCATCATAGATTGCCCCGTACATTTTCCCTTAGAACGATAGAAAAATGTTTTCCACAAGCGTCCCTCCGTCTGCTGATTAACGACCGGCGTGCCGGTGCTCGTATGTGTTCTTCATCATACTTTCAGATATTGGGGAGAGACGACTCGACGTTGCCAGATGAACGGTACTATGGTCAGAATAAAAATGTTATGGATTAATTGTACGGACTTGGCTGACGGGCTTTAATTTTTCTGTTATATATGTTCATGACCAACTTTTTTTCTTAGAGGGTCTAACTTAAACATGCTGCTTTCGTCCGTACAACCAAAGACAGCCAACCACAGACAGCTGTTTCGCGCTTTTTTGGAGACTCATCGGCATGATTTAGCAACTATCCTCTATTCAAGATGTAAGGCCTGTGGCCATGGGCGCCCGCAGGGGTCAAAGGGGAGACTGTGGCCTCCCTTGGTAATTCGTTTGAACCTTAAAATTTGCTTATTGCCCTCTCCCGGAAAGAAAAATCACTCCGGTGCGTTGTTTTATTTCGATATGGTCTAACTTATGCTAAACAGAGTAGAGTCAACCTACTTGATGACATTTTTATTCTCCTCTAAGTCCTCTCCCAATTGATGTAAACAGATAGTATTTTTCCGTCCAATCAAAGTTTTTCCGCGAGTACATTGGTCTACATTGATTAACATATTTTCCAAAATAGTTACTAATGTAGAATTCCCTTTTTATTATTTGTGTTGATTTGCCACAGGAATGTGTCAAAAATAATGTTTGGTTGGTTATGGACACAGAGAAAGTAAACACGTCCTATTCAGACTATGTTTAGTACGTCAAAGCCGGTATCATGGTGAACACTTGCCCGTTTTTTTTTATCAATGCAGACTGTCATTTAGAGATGCAGGAAAGCATATTATGTGGTTTCCTGCTACAGCGCTTAGCGAACTACGCATAAGTGGCAGCGCCACCTCTTCTAACACTACATACAGAATTTTTCGATAGACCCATTTCCGCTTGTTTTCTTTCCATTGCCATACTGATGATTGCTAAAAAGCATGAACTTTCGTTGTAGACGGTCGGTTATGGTCACAGAGACGACAAGACGCAGATCCCAATCAGCCAATATAATGTATTTTAAATGTTTTCATTGCAGGGTGCAGCGGGGTCGTACGCATTTTGTCAGTACGCCGACATCGCAAGCGTCGTACGCGCGATAAGGAAGATGGATGGAGAACACCTGGGAAACAACAGAGTTAAGCTGGGCTTCGGCAAGTCGATGCCCTACAGCTGCGTTTGGGTCGACGGAGTAGGGGAAGGAGTCACTGAAAAGTACCTGAGGATACAGTTCGAGCCTTACGGCGCCATTAGCAAGGTACGACTAGGAACCACCACATAGCCCTATGTTTTTTGAAACCCTGCTTCGTACACTCTCTTCGTACGCCACTGGGCGAGGCAGTATTGTAATCGCGAATAACTAGAATGCCGCAATTTTGTTGTGGATAAGGGTTTGGTAAATAATATAACTCAAAAAGATGTACTCCGATTATTAGAAGCAAACTGATTAACCCAAGTGATCTGTTAAATATAGTTCAGATATTTATTTTTACTGTATACACTTTTTTTGTTTAGGACTGTATTATTTTTAGTTAGCTGTTAAAGTGAGATATAGACTGTTTATTTTTCTTTTGATTTTACGTTTTAGAATATAACTTGGGTTAAACAAAAATATCGAAAAATTTCCTATAATTCTACCGAAATATTTGTGGTACCTGTTTTGTTTTCTGCTATAAATTAGTAGATATTATTGAACTAAAATATCTAGTTTATCTGGTTCACCCAGTTGTTTGCCAGTATGTATCAATAATTGTCATGTCATAAACTATAAGCACCTTAAGGAACTACTAGTTTAAATTAAATGTTTGTTGATAATGAGCTCAATATACAGGGTGACACGGGAGGAATATTGGCTTCAGATCAATCAGATAAAATCAACATGACCTCAGTAAAAGTTTTTAATTTTTCTAGATATTACCACTTTTAGGTTTTTCCAAAAAATCACTACGTTTGCTCCTTTTTGCCTGTTATGGCTATTAAGAACTCCTGACTTATGAGTTTTTCCTGGGCTACCATTAACAGTTGGTAGGGACAATCGAGTATTCATTTCATTGAAAACTAGCATGGTATGCTGAAAAAAATTAATATCCATTCTTACCAAACTGTCTAATATAAGACTAACGTTGAAGAACTTAATGCCAAAGTAGTTGGGCCTGAATCTTGATTTCTGCAGCTTTAATTGTGACAAAGCAAGATTATTTTTGGTGTGTTATATTGATGTATCGTGCGATGGATGATATATTTCTCTTGGTTGTTCTTTTTTATAAGCATTGAACACATTAAAATGGATCGACTGGTAGTGTATATTTATGATGTTTTCTTTATTTCAGATCCACGTAGATAGGGATCGGGGACAGGCCCTGGTGTTCTACGAGCAAGTTCTGAGCGCCCAAGCGGCCGTAAACAAAATGCGGGGGCATCTCCTTAAAAACGGAGGCAGAGTGCAGGTGGACTTCGCCAGCAGAGAGTGCCAGGAAGCCTTTTTTGAACGGCTGGAGAAGCAAGGAGGAGGAGTGGTGATAGTAGATGGAAGAACGAGCGTTAGTGTCGGGAGTGTTTTCGATGAAGGCGTTGTCGTTACTGGAGGGAGGACTAGTAGAAGTTTTGAAGCTACTGTCGCTGTGACTAGATATTCTAGGTATTTGGATTCTTTAAAAAAATGTGTTGTTAAACTTGTTGTTGTTGACCAGGAAGGAATCTTTCCGTGCTTTAGGTGTAACGATACCATGACGATAGGTACCGTTACTGCAATCATTGTTATTTTACAAAGTGTCTCAGGAAACCTGCATCAGTTAGACATAAAGTAAGAATGTTATAGTTGTCAAACTTTTAATTTACACGAATCACCATTTGAAAATATAAAAATCGGAAACTATGAATTCATATACGTCAGTCGTAAACTTTGTGACTCGAAATATTGCTAATAAATTACTCAAATCATTACCTTAGTCATATTTCAACTTTCGTCATATGTCCCAGTCTTTATACTTTTGCAAATTATTTTTGATTCCTTGAGTCGTTATTTAGAAATCTAAAAATGAGAAACTAAATTTATATATGGCAATCATAAATTTTAACTCAAATTATTACCAGTAAACTTTAAATAATCATATTAGTCATATTTCAATCAATCAATCCGTACATTAAAAACAGTGAAGGTTATCGTCACCGCCTACTATACTTAATTGCGTTAACCTGAGTTAATAAAAAATTAGTAATTGAAAAAACGTAAATAATGCAATTTAATACCAAAATGATAATGTTGAACACTTGACCTAAAACGTAACACATACACTTAAAAAAACAACCAAAATCGAAAACAAGCACAAAGTAAAAAACAAATGGTCAACAATTATGGAACAAAGTCGGTAAAATCAATATTTAAAAACTTGTCCATGCTGTAAAAATATTTCATCACTAAATATCTCTTCACAGTGTGTTTAAACATGGTTAAGTGTTTGACAACGCCTGGGCAGTCTAGTTTGTGCAGATCATAATCAGTTATAGAATTGATGGCGCTGCGTGGAAAGTTTAGAGTCAACCTACTTGCCATTTTTTATTTACGACACTGTTCAAGGCTTGACTTTGCCATTTCTTTTCAGGTATGAATCTTCATCATCCCGGCCGCGAACGTCATCCTACGGTGGCACTAGATCCGCCCCTGCATCGTCATCTGCAGGCCACCAATCACCGTCAGCCGTTTCGGTAGTGGGCGTGGTCGGTTCGGCCACGCCCCGAACTTCCGAAAGGCCGTCCAGGGGCGGAACTGGACGAAGGTAATAATTAAAATAAAAAAACTACCAAGACTGTTTCTTTTAAACAAAATTGAATAAACATAGCTGAGCACTTTTAAGTGTCTGTAAATTAGGCATTTTGTCTTATTACATTCTGCTAGCTCTGTCCTGATATGAAAGGGGTGACAAGAACAGTTTATTTCGAGCATTGTGGTCAGGAGTGTTCGATGTATCCATTCTTTTTATCTAAGATGATATCTAAGAAATACGAATTTTACTGTGTTATTCAACTCTTCGTTTTTTTCTTCAACATGCTTATATATTTCTTGCAATTTGATAACATTGTTTTCCCTCTCTTCAGGTGTTTTGACTACTATTCTGCTGCGGCTGTGGCTGATGATTATGCTCCTCTAGATAGACATCTCTTTCGGAGTTATGATGAATATAGTCAAGCATCATCAGCGTCACATGATGATCTCTATGATCATGAATATGGGTTTGTGCATGATAGTCCAACGCATCTAGGTAAGCATCAAAATAACATCGTGGTTTTATTCGTTGATACTATTGGGCTTTGTTTCAATAAGTTTAAACCTCTTTGCAGAGCTCCTTCAAATAACGCCAGTATCTTTAGCTTAAGCTTGCCAAGTTATAAATTTTTGGGATTCAGTCAATTTAAATACGATTCGACGACATTGAACGCCATCTTCAGGTACATGGACGTTTCTAGAACTAAACAAAAGCGTCAAAAATTACAACACAAAACACTTTGAAAAAGAAAAGAAAATAATGTTAAATTGATAGACTGAGAGAGTTCGTTAATTTTGCCATAAAATGCATTGAAAAACGTTGGAATGAATTTCAGAATTTCACTTCCTTTCCTTTAGTTAGAAGATTTCAATTGCTGAAGAGTTTTGTTTAAAGGCAACATATTTCGAATATGATCATAAATCATAACTACTTTTCCCAGATTTTTGACACTACACTGGGCTCATCAATTCCCTTGCAAATTACAAACTCGGTTATGGAGGGACTGGAAAATACTGTTCTTGAAAGATTGACAGTCAAACCAACTTTTTATAACAAAATATATAGATGATTGTGTACCTATTTTCATAAAAATCGTATCAAAAACATTTTTAGTGAATTCAATAATTTCCTTCCCAGACTACAGTTCACGTAAGAAATTGAAACTGACAGAAAGATTAACTTTCTCGATATAACTTTTGAATATGTATAGCAATGAGGGTCATATTATAACGAATTTATAACTTGAATTGTTTTCAAAGGTCAGTAATAAAAAGTTTTCTCTCGGAGTTAAGTTTTTTCTAGTTATCATCAATGTTCATCAATAACTATTTGGTCATCCAATTGTGATTACAAAGCTTGCGATTTTTTTATAATCATCTGTTAGAACTTGTGAATTTCTACATACTTGTTGTAATATGATTTGTTTGCCTTTTCAGATGGTGTAATGACCTTTGCCCCTCCAGAGATTAGAAACCTGCAGAAAGAGCGGGTACATCTGCTAGAACAACTAGAGGAATGCCCTAGTAGTGGAGATGAGCTAATTAGCCCTAAGAAAAGACTCAAGTTAGATTTGTTGGAATCAGCGATGACCAGTGATGTTATCATTGAGGCTAACAGAGACCATAGGTAAGTACATTTTCATTCAGTACTTGTCGCTGATTTGGTTAATAAAACTGTAGGCAGGTGCGTGCTGTTTAGGGATAACAGATATTCAGTATCTCAAGACAAGAACCTACGAGTTTCTGCTGCTTGAGGCATTTTTTTTATATGTAGTTGGTTCGTTGTTTTTTTTGTAAGTTACCATTTATTATGAAGCTAGGGCTGTTGCGTCTTCAGTCACCATGGGATAGCCTATTGTGAATGTTGAATGCTTCTAATCAAATATTTTTTTTGTTTCTATTACAGGAAAGTGACGGAAGTCCGACGATTATCCGACACACCATCTGCTCTGTCTAAGCTCTCCTCTCACCATTCGCGGCGTCCTTCTGCAGATTCCTCTTCCTCCTCATCGAAACACAGTAGACATGACGGCGACAGATATGTGACGTGTAAAAGGAGGAAAACCCAAACGCCATCTGCAGGCAGCAGTAATCACCATCATCATTCGTACGTGTCTTCTACGACGTCCACCACCGTGGTTGATCATCATAATGCGGTAAGAATCATCACAAAACTAATATATCTCTAGAGTTTTCCATTTGAAACTTGAATATAGGCATTTGGCAACCAACTTGGCATTTGTTACTTCTGAGGCATTGGGCAGCAGTGAAGAATAAAGATGTGGTTGATTTCTGTACGATGTTCTCGAGTTCCTCAACCATTGTTCTTCTCCCTATAGAAGCCATATAAATGAATTAAATTAAAAAAGGAATAATTTCAATTCGAACTAAATACTAGAACACAATTTTCAAGTATAAAAGATTTTGTGTTACTGCAATAGAATGCCCAACAATCAAGTTTGAAAAATTAATTTGTAATAAGATCAACATAAAAATTAAGATATTAACAAAAAATTAAATTATATTGAATAAGCGTGGGGTGCTTGATGTTTAGTTTTTTAATTGCTATTTACAAAATGTATTAATATGAGTTATTATGAAAATATGGTTAGTTGCACCCCGCGCTTTTTTACTGTAATTGAATTTTTTGTTAATTAAATAATAAAACAAACTCTCCTATACTTGAAAATTATTCACTACTTTTGAGCGCGATTTGATATTTCATGCTTTTTATTATTTTTTTGATTGGATATAATTTATTTTTTGAATTTTTAATCACAAAACGACAACAAAAGTACTTGTGTTTAGATACCAAATTTTTCCATTTTTTTTTCCAAATATAAGATTCAATTTTTTTTACAGTTTGTTTCCAAATTTAAAATTTTTTCAACATTCCCAAATTATTTTCCAAATTCCTGAATTTTCTACTTATTTTCCAAATTTTCAAATCCATTTTTCCCAAATTTCAAAATTACATTTTTTTTTTAAATATCCAAATTCAGAATTTTTTTAAAGATTATTGTATTATCATCGACTCTTGACCCTGACCTTGTGCCAAATTGATTAAGCAAAGTAAAAATTTGACATGATTGTTTTTTTTTCAGGCGACGAGTGGATCTGAAGCGGGTGGTTCCAGGCCTGGAACTCCTTTATGCGATGAACGCCCGGAGAACTGTTCATCGACGATGCAAGTTGAGCCACCAAGAAGGACGACGCGGGAACGAGAGGGGCCCATCTCTTTACCTCTACCTAAGTTTGCTGCGCAAGTTATAAGTAGGGGAGCGTGGATAAGTAAGTACAAACTTAAAGTATATAATGCAACGTTATATGCAGTATCCAGCTATCATCAACATTGTCAGATGATAAAATATTTAAATACTTCGGTTTAATTGCAGGTAGCATAGCAGCGGCGACCAAACAGCAACAACAGACCGTCACCTGCATCTCGACCAATCCCCAACCGCACCACCAACATCCGCATTCTACAACAGTGCCCGCCCCTTTGTCATCCCCACCCGGCCGCAGCAGCAGCAACCCCGCCCCTCGGCCTCCAAGCCCCGCCCACATGCACGTGGTACCGCCACCGGCGAGTCCGCCTCCCCGAAGGCCTTCATCGGGTACGTCCAGCGATAGCGACGGTGCCGCATCTCCTCCATCACCCTCTTTAGAGGAGCGAATCAGGAGTCTGGACGAGAAGTACGAAAGGTGGAGTGGGAGCAGAGTGGCAACGGGCAACAACGGGTCCGCTACTGGTGGCATAGAGGCATGCTTGGAAAGGTTCAGGCAGAGGCATAAGCTGCTCGATCTTGATCTCAAGGTAAGATGAAGTTATGAGAATCTAGGAGTCGTATTTATAGACCTTTCCTAAGGCGTGAGGCTGCCTTGGAAATAATGGGTATCAGATGTTTCCTTGAAAGTAGTGAAACAATGACGCTTCTTCGAGGAACGTTCAAGGGAGCATTTTTATTATTCATTTCACAGTAGGCTGTAGCAGTTGTCACCACAAGCTGTCATCGATGTCAGAAAGGCCGTATCTATTTAGGATTTTGATGATAAAATTTGGACGATTTGTGCCAAATATGAATAAACAATATAAAATGACAATGTGTTTGCTTCCTCGAATTACAGCGCAATCACGAGAAGTAAAAAACTGAATTAGGCACTCAACTGCTCTTCTGGTTGCAGGTTGTGGACGAAGTCTGCCACATTCAGCGTAAATACTCGTTCAAATTCAAATATTTGGTAATCTCTAAAATTTTACTATCAGTCCATAAAATTTTCTCTAAAAATCGCGCATCTTCCCGGTGGCTCTCTAACATTGTTTGAAAACACTCGACTCTTGGAGGATAAACCCGGGGTTGTAGAGATTGTACTCGCTGTACGTGGTACGGGTTGGAGCTCGTTATTTCTCAAGATTCGTTAGGCTGTACTCTTGAGCACTCCCCTAATTATGGACTATATCCTGTGATTCATGTAACCATCTTCTTTAAATGTCCACTAATCAGACCATAAAATTTTCTCTAAAAATCGCGGATCTTTCCGGTGTCGTTGTAACATTGTTTGACAAAACTCAACTCTTGGCGGTTAAACCCAAGATTGTAGATTGTACTAGCTGTACGTGGCACGCGTGAATCTCGTTCGTTTGCAATATTCGGTGTGCTGTACTTTTGGGCACTCCCGTGCTTGCTTCTATTTGACGCGCTGAAGTACTCGGGTCTTCTTCACCTGCTTGTAGTACGACGTGCTCGTAAGGAAAGGAAATTTTTCCTTCACCATTTGCTTAATTTGGGAATTGTCAGTCTGAGAGTAAACGGTGCACATTCACAAAAACTCGTTGATCGGGATAACGAGCAGCATTTGCGTACCTCTCACGATAAAGCCTAGCTGCAGCAGCACTAGCATTGCATCTACAATCCCCATAAATGAGGTGCATCTTGTCGCATTTCCGAATGGTGCACATAGAGATGGTGGCACTACACAATCATGAATAAAAGTGGCGTCACTATCTGTCACTACGCAGAATGACAATGTCCGCTACTAAGTCTAAGAAAAAAATAAAATCTGTAGCAATGACAATTACAGGGTGAAGGTTTTTCCGATTTTTTTAAAGCCTATAATTGAAAAATACACGACTTAGATTTTTTTATATCTTTCTGATAACTATTATGACTTGGCTCGTTTCCGGCTTGACGTCGACTTCTGGGACACCTTATAAATTATATTATCAATGTGTTTATCATTATTGAAAATAGTCATTGAAATAAAAAAACTCCAAGATGCACTTTTAAATCACAACTTTTCATATTTCAACGTGCTGAATCCGCCCTTGAATTTTTCTAGCACTGTTCTGTAACACGCTATATTATTGAAAGACCATCCATCTTTTGTAGTACTTACGTACTGAAGCATTTTTGTTTCGTTGTTCTAGGAAATTCAACCATCTGAAATAGTAAAATCCGTCCTCGCGAAGCGGTCAGTGTTCGACGAGGACCTGAAGCGGTTGGAGAACGTGAACGAAAAGTACGAACCGCGCGATTTTGGCCTGTTCAGCAGCCGGCTAACTGGGGGTGGAAGTGCAGGCACAATCATCTCCACAAGTACGATATCGAGCACCACCGACTCCACTCCAACACCATCGGTGGCACTGAAGTTGTCCACGCTGGTGGGCGCTTTACCTGCTGGGCAACCCACGACGGTGACGGTGGCCACCGCGGCCACAGTCTTGGCTACAGGTCAGCAGACACCACCTCATGGGGTTATGTCACCCAGAGCCACACCTGGTAAGTGGGGAAACAGCATGGTACATTAAATAGCTACATCTTGGTACTACAAGAAGATAGGAGGTGCACCAACTAGGTTCCAGGAATTTAGAGTGACATTCACAAACATCACTTCAAGGTCCCTTGATACTTAAGATACCCTCAATGGTTATTTCGTGTTTCATAGTGGGTGCTAAGCTACAGCTCACTTGAGGGTCACTCACGGCAATTTTTGAGGTTAGGTTCGTGTACTATCACAGTTGTCACCTAGTTCACAGTGATTGTGAGCAACATGGATTATGAACGGTTTCTGGAATTTACTATTATATACAGGGTGACTTTGAAGTTGAGTCATTAATTTTCAGATAATGATTGTAGAAGGAAGATAAACCAAAATATGTGTGTAAAAATAAAAAAAAAATATAAAAATTTTTTTACCTTGTTTTATAAAGTATCCTCCCGACAAGTATTTCAGTGCGGACCTGTATTTGATCGTGAGGTCTTGGAGCACCGGCATGCCGTCACCTGATTCACGAGCCCGTTGTACTACATTAACAAAGGCACGAGGGGTTGGTTGCACTCGATTGGGAAACCGATCCGCATAAACATGTGCCATTTTTTATTTCGTTTGAGCCACGCAACAGACACCACTATTCACTGACACTGACTGTATACAAATGAATAAAATAATTGTAAAAACATCGTTCCAAATTCTTTCGCTTTTTTGTTTCCGATGCGATGAACCGATACAGCGGATTATATCCGTTGTCGCCAAACACGAGCACATAATATTATTATTGAGACAGGGCGGTACTCAAACTTCCAAAGGGCTATAACTTTGTTACTTTAATTTTACCAGAAAAATGGTAAAGGAAAAAAACATTTCTTTTGATCAGATCTACTCACTGTTAAAATAAATGACTCAACTTCGAAGTCACCCTGTATATAATAACAAATCACCTGCAACTTTGAGGGTGCCAAGAAAAGATATTTGAGGGATGCTATAAATTCGTCTCGCTTCTGTGATGTTTATGTCCAGTTTAAAGGCACGATATAGGTTCTCAATAGACACAGTAAGAGTCAACGTAGCCTCATTAATTCATGACGACTTAAATAATTCGACTGCTAGAGGATTATCACAAATACAGCACTTATTTGGTGTAATCCGTTTTTATGCTTCTGGAAATTTTATCTTGGAGAGAAGCTCATTGAGGCTGACATATGAAAATAATCAGAATGCAGGTAAAATACCCCATTCGTAGTCCATTTACGCCGAGGCAAAACACAACATGCCCAAAAGCGAGATTGGACAGGTCCGTATTTTCCTCAATGGTCTTGGAAGAATCTAACAAAATAAAGATTATTTTTATAGAAAGAAGTGCACATACTTTTCACAATTCTTTTTTCGCTGGAAAATTGAATCATCGTCCGAATGGTTAATATTAATTATATATATTATAAGTTCAATTTGAATATAGATCATATTATCCAGATCCCACAACTTTGTTTCGATTGCATCTTGAACGTGACGGATGCAGTCTTTCCAATGGTTTGAGGTCACTCTGTTGACAGCTTCATAAAACAAATTTTTCACGTCAGAAAATTTGATTGTTCTATTGTTTGAAGCCACATACAGTAATGGACAAAAGTATATAGACAAATATGAATATTTACCTAAATACCTTTAGAAAACGAATTCATACTTCGTTGCTCCATAAACAAATGCGTTATTAGTATAAAAACTAAATTCCTTGTTTTTACATTATCTGCAATGAACACAATGCAAGTCTGAATATAAGCACTTTTTTATGAGGGACAAAAATATGTAGACAAATTATTTTCAACATTAGTTTAGTACAATTTCGTGTCAGAAGAGGATTAGTTTGTGTTCATCAAGTATTGTGGAATAAGTTGAGTGATTTTAAGACCATGCCGCGTGGTCCAGAAATTTCTTTCGATGTGAAAACTAAGATCATTGAGTTATACAAAGATGGTCAACGTCAACTCGACATTGCCAAAAATTTGATGCTGAAGCGTAAAGCAGCTTGAGCAATATTGAACAAATATAAACAAAAAGGTATCTTGGAAGCCTCTAAAAGAAGTGGTCGGAATAGCAAACTAATTGCTAGGTCAGTTAGATTAATTTCGTCCAAAGATCCGTTTAAAACCCCAAGACAAATAAAAGCCGAAATCGAGACTAAAGGAATTGTCAGTGTTTCTACGAAAACTATAAGTAGAAGATTAAATGATTTGAAGTTAATTGCACGTCGCCCGAGTAAGAAGCCGCTAATCTCGAGGAAAAACTGTAAGGACCGATTACAATTTGCACGGTTGCATCTTGATTGGAGCATCTGTGACAGGAAGAGGGTATGTTTCAGTTCAATATGTTTGAATCAGATGGTGTTCATTACGATAGACGTCCTAGTGGACAATGATTGAACCCCAAGTACACTTTGCCCACTGTCAAACATGGAGGCGGGTCTGTTATGGTCTGGGGGTGCTTTCCGGGGTTTGGGATGGGACCTTTACATAGAATATATGGCATTATGGATAAGTTTGTATACACAGACATACTAAAGCATGCCATGTTACCCTATACGGAAGACAATATGCCCTTAAGATCAATCTTCCAACAAGATAATGACCCGAGGCACACTTCAAATCTGCAAAGAAATTCTTTCTGGATGAAAAAATACCAGTTCTGAAATGGCTTTCACAGTCTCCCTATATAAACCCCATTGAAAATCTATGGGAATACTTAGATAAGCAAATATAAGATAAAAATGATTCAAACAAGGATGAACTTTTTGCCGCTTTAGAACAAAAGTGGAGACAGGTTGATGAATCTTATATCAACTTCTACAATCTATGTTGGTTTTCTATAATTCAATGAACTTTGCTTCTTTTTTCTATAATTGTTTTGCTTTGTCTATATATTTTTGTCCTTCATAGTTCCAGTTTTTTTCAATTAATTTTTTATTGAAGGGAGTCTAATGAATTTATTTATGTATAAGTGAGTATTATGCTATAACGAATTATGTATACAGGTTGCTGTATTAATAAAACAAGTTAAAAAAGAAATACAGCACAATATTAATTTGTCTATATACTTTTGTCCATTACTGTAGTTTTTTATATTGTGATAAGGTAGCCTTAAAACTGTCTTATTTTTGTTTCTTGTCATTTCATCAATAACATTAACATTTTATTTATATTTGTGCTGCCTGACTAGATAGATAAGTTCTGCTTTGACCATATTTTCATTGAAACTAATGTCTTTTGATAGAAGCCATTGTTGAATTTCTGCCTTTCTTGTGGGCATTGTGGGATTTTTTTCTAGTTTTCTAGTGTGATATGCAGCATTATCAAGTACAATGACGGCATTGTCGTCAAGCTTGGGAACGTTTCTTCAAACCATCGTTCAAATGAACTCCCGTCCATTTCTTCATGGTAGTCGGGCTTTTTTTTGCCAATGTGACAGATAACAAATTGTTTTCCTTTTCCTGGAAATAATTATTTCATATAGTATTCAAGAAAACTAATAATACTACAAACAGAGTATCTAACAGGTGTTGGTTCCAAATCTACCAGGTATGGCTAAGTTTTCAGTGCGGGCTCATAGATTCAGTCTACTTGACACCATTTTTACAACACAAATGAGGAATTGTTTACATACACGTACCTGACGTAGGTTAGTCCATCTAAGGAGGCTTGTCTTGCTGATTTAATTGTAGAGTCAGTCCATACTTTAGGTTTCGTATGTCCTGCATTTATCGAGGTTTTATCCAATTAATAAATCTTCCTACCCTGGTCGCGGTATTTCTTTATTGATTTTAAATAATTTCTTCTCCATAAAATAATCTCTTGGCTGTCCATCAAAATACTATTTCTGCCCCGTTTTCTATATTCAAAATGAAGTTCTTTGAGTAAATAAACTATAGAATGTGGTTCTTTTGAAAGTAAGTTTTCATCACTATTAACCTCCTGTAATACTTCTATACGTCTATGGTGGGAAGTTCCTTCCTTTCAAAAAATTGATGGACTTTGCGTCTGATGGCTTTCCGATCAAAGTTATCAACTGTATCCAACAGCTTCGTGTAATGCAGCCTCTTGTGTGGTGGAGACATTTTTATATATATATATATATATATATATATATTCTGTAACAGTGTTGAAAATTGTCTTAGGACACAAGCAGGTTTTTTTTGCCACACATCTTTCAATATCATGAATTTTCATTTCAGGAAATTTCGCTCTTATAAACGTTAAGGACAATTTCTTTTGGCTGAATATGTGCCTTCTTGTCATGTTTTCGGGGATTGGACCTCCCTGAAGAGGAAGCATGGCTGAAGGAAGCATTGGGAGAAATATTCTCACTTGTTCGTAGCTTTATGGCCGAATAACCAATAGCTATTACAACGCTTAGGCGGCTGCCGCTTTGCCGCGCTGCATCTTTGTTATGCCGGGGCGTAAATGGACTACGAATAGGGTGTAGTTTGTAAGACCTCACATGTACATTGTATGAACATTATGTGGTCAATAAATGGTATGATATGGTATGCATCAGTCTCAATGGTCTCTTTTGTCAACAGGTTCCAATTTACCGGCGCCAGCGGCGAAGGGTCTCCAATATCCTTTTCCCACTCATCCTCCATTGTTGATAGCCCCAGCACCGCCCCCGATGCCGCCGCAGCCTATTTCTACCACGCCCATTTCTACGGCTACGCCCACTATAGCTACTATCCCGTCGAGTGTAGTTACCACGCCGACGACGTTGAGCATCGCTCCAACTACCGTTGCAGGTTAGTAACTTATAATTTCACAAGATTTATATGTCTTTATCTTATAGGCATATAGAGGAAGGGCAGTTACAGATGACAGGTCGTGACAGCGAAAGTATCAGGGATATGCATCTGGGGATGACAATACCATAAAAAAAAAAATGGGCAAAAATACATGGCTTCAAAGGTTCTTTCATGTTTTAATGGCGATGTTTCCTGTTTGGATTGGAGCATTGCCACCTCAAAAATTAGCGATTAACATTATTTTCATTTCTAGTATCATATTCATAACGTTTATAAATGGTCGAATGTTTGTTTTTATGGAATTATAATATAACATTACGCCAAAATATTTGTATTATACTTGTATTCAAAGGTTTTGATTCTATAAACAGCGATTTGAGGGCATATGGTAAAGCTTCGCTGTGCATTGCTTTTATAAATAATTTTTGTATATGTTAATTTGGATGGTTGTTATTCGTGGATCCCCAGATAATAATTCCATAGGTTATGCGGCATTCAACTAATGTTTGATATACAATTTTTAATGGAGATTTATTGAAAATTTGCGTGTAATACCTGAACTTATATAACAGCAATCTAACTGTCTTTGTATGGTATCATTTTGGCCAGGTGCTAAAGTGCCCATTTTTCGAATGCTCGTTCCATTTGACTGTTTAAACTTACATTACCTTTCCAGGGGACTCTAGACTGAAACCATGCTCCGCAACTGCGACACCGAAACCCGCCCCTGTAAATAGAAGCGCCTCCACGGAGAAACCTTCTGCGAACATTCCCCCAACGAGCGCGGAAGTAAACCGCGCCGTACGCGAGACCAAGTCCAGCGACAAGGTGACGAGTAGGCGTGACTCGGGCAGCAGCAGTTCCCCTAGAGGGGCGGCTGAAATCACCAGGAGAAGGAACAGCGACTCCAACAGAAGGGCAGAGCCGACGGAGAGCAGCAGCGAAAGGGAAAGGGCGCAAAGCGAGGAAAGGAAGAAGGAGCGCTTAGAGAAGATTCGAATAGAGAATGAGAAGTTAGAGAAGGAACGTCTGGACAGGGAGAGCGCAGAAAAGGAGAAGCAGGAGAAGGAAAGGGCCGAGAAGGAAAGGCTGGAGAAAGAGAGGTTAGTGGTAGTTTTGGATAACAAAAAAACGTAATCAAATGGAGGTAATCTAGAAAGCTAGAAGTAGACGTCACTAGTTAGGTTGGAGATCATGTCTAAAGTTATAAACATTCAAAGATGACAATTGCTGATCAGCTGTTCACTTCACTAGAAGTCAAACCGTGATGAATTCACTGAAAATAAGTTACATCCACGTAGAGCTCCTCAGCCTCCTTATTCACATGTTTTAAGTCCTTGTCACTTTTTTCTCTTCCCGAAGTTGGAAAATCACCTCAAGGGAACAAAGTCACTTTGGGACTGTGTGGCTTCAGAAGGAAGTTATTTGGAGGGTGACAATATAAAATTGTAATTATATTAGAATGATAAAAGTAAAAAAAATCAGACTCATCATTTAATTTAAAGCCCCGTAAGCGTCTCTGAGATGTTATGCGATTTTAGCGAATTCATTTTTCATATCAGAGACATCTGGTATTTCCCACCGTCAAAATTCTTACATGAACCAAAAAACTAGAGTCATACTATGCAATTCTCTTGTTCTGTCGCATATTAACTTCTGTGATGTCGTCTATGACAAATGTTTGACTAAATTCACCTCTGATAAAATACAACGCGTGCAAAATTCTTGTCTGAGACTTATTTTTGGTTTAAGAAAATACGATTCTGTTTCATCAAAGCTAACTGATGCTGGCTGGCTGAACATGAAGCAACGTAGGCTGCTTCATAGCCTCGTTCTGTACCATAAGATTATTATACATAAACTACCATCCTACTTACACGAAAAAATCCATTTCCGTTACTTAGCTCACAATCGCAATACCCTCAACAAAACAAAACTGACACCGCCTTTTCATTCTACCAACTTATTCGAAAGATCCTTTTCGTATAATATCAGTAAACTTTATAATAATATCCCGCGAGAGTATACTTCTCTTTCTATTGATTTGTTTAAAAAACGGATACGCTATTACATTGCAGGTAATTGCATGGTATGACTTTGGAGTCGTTATGTATTTTTATAGTACCATTTATCAAATTAGCCGCCAGGGTCCATTCTCTGATACTGCTTATACATCCATATATTTTTTCACCTCATTTATATATTTATATTCATGCTTATCTTATTATGATGTAAACCTAAAACCAGGGGTTAAGTGGAAGAGCGGATATGCCGAACTTCGCCCCTCCCACTATATGTTCATATAAAACTGGTTTTGCAACTTGTTTTGTATTTTCTTTTGTGGGAATAAAGACATTATTATTATTATTATTATTATTATTATTAAAAGCAAAAATAACCGATTGTACCCTTTAAATAATCAAAATATTTACTTTTGTTGTTGTTGTCGGCAACCGTTAGCTAAGGACCTACGTTATGAGCCTAGTGTTCGCTTTTGTATTTTTAACTTGTTTTACGAATAACGTTCCATATCAGCGAAACGACAAACATAGGATAAGTGCACAAACTGATGAGATATCAGAGGCTAGCAAACATGCAGTGTTACAAGATCTACCGATTTTTCGGTAGAGCTACTGATTTAAATGCGAAATCTACTGAAGGACTTCTCCAATTATTTTGAATAGCTTTTGTACAACTCAATGACCCCATCCCCTCTTCAATTTTCGATTTGTGGAATTTGGTGCAACCCCCCGCTCTTCAATTTTTAAAATCGAGTGGGGCAATTATTGTTTGATCTGAAAATCCTTGAATACTATTGGCTTTGAGGAAATATTTTAATTTTTTACAGGTTGGAAAGGGAAAACGAGTTAGAAAAACAAAGGCTGGAGAAGGAGAGGCTGGAAAAAGAACGCCTGGACAAAGAGCGAATAGAACAAGAACGACTAGAAAAAGAAAGGATAGAAAAGCAACGACAAGAAACTGAAAGGTTAGAAAAAGAGCAAATAGAGAAGGAACGACTAGAAAAAGAAAGAATAGAAAGGGAACGAACAGAAAAGGAGAGGAAAGAAAGGAAAGATAGTGAAGAGAAAGAACGAAGGGAACGTGAAGAACAAGCTCGACAAGACAAGGAAGAACGGGAACGGAGAGAAAAAGAAGAGTTGGAAAGACGAGAGAAAGAAGATAGAGAGAGGAGGGAAAGGCAAGAGGAGGAGGCGAAAGCAACGGCGAAAGAGCGTCACGAAAAGGAGCGGAGACATAAAGAAGACAATCAAGATAACAAAAAGAAGGACGACCATAGCAAACATAGCGATAGTAGTAGCAGACATAAGGAGAATAGTCTAGATAAACATACCAAAGATAGCACTACTTTACACTCACATAGTGGAGACAAAGTCAAACACCACTTCGAAAAAGAACGCTCGAAAGAGAGCATCAAAGAAAACAGAGATAACAACGTCCATGAAAAACAGAGAAGCGAAGTCAACAATCGCGGCGTTATAGAGAGTAGGCATATGTCGATAGAATTAGATAAAAATAGACTGCATTACGAGATTAAGGATAATAGCAAACGGAAGGAGAGAAATAATAGTCTACCCGCTAGTTTAGGCTCTAAGAGACGACTTAGCGCGCATGAAAGCTTAGAGAATATAGAAGAATGTAAAAAGCTTAAATTAAGCCACGAACATAAAAAGGTAAGTGAAAGGAGGGATTCCAAAGACAGTACCCGTTCAGAGGACAAGTCGAAAAGTAAACATAAAAACAATGTAAACAAATCTCATGAGAAATCTAAAGATGAGGAAAAGAGAAAAGAAAAAGACAAGGAACGCGAAGAGAGACATAAAAAACACAAACAGGATAAACAAAAGTCGAAGAGTAAAAGTCGAGAAAAAGATACGACTGTCACAATTTCTTCTACAAGAGAATCACCAAATACGACAACTAGTCCAATTACCGATAAAGATTTTATGGCCCACTTAGATTTAAGGTCCAATGAGGATATAGAGAAACTTAAACGAGAGGTTAAAGAAAAACAACATACAGAAGAAAAGGAAATCAAAGATGACAAATTGAAAAAATCATGCGAGAAACACAATCCAGACAAACCTAAAAGCCGGAGTCCAGAAGAGCCAACACCTGAAGAGAGAAAGAAGAAAGAGCGGTTAAAGAGCGGAAGTGAATCAGACGAACCCAGGAAACACTCCATTTTCGATATTGTGGTTGATGAACCAGCATACATTTCAATGTATGACAAAGTGAAAGCTCGAAGTTGCAAGAACATGGCGAAGCAAGAGGAAGAGAAGCGACAAGAGAAGATCAAAGCCAAGTTCAGTCAGCTGAAGCAAAGCAGAGCAAAACGAGAAGAAAAGAAACGATCCACTTCATGGGACGAAGATTCCGACTCCGAAAAAGATCATACAGAAGTCAAAATGAAGCGTTGTCCGAAAATGCTGATTGACAGCTCCGATGATGAGAGCCAAGATAGAAGACATACCAAAAAGAGAGAAATCTATACGGATTCAGATTCATCAGTGGCGATGAGACATATTAAACAGGAACCAATTGACACTAGTGATGATGAAATCAAAGAGAAAAATAAACATTTGGCTTTGAAAAATATAAAATCCAGAATATCGGGCGATACCTCAGAAGACGATTGCAACAGAAAGAAGGTTCAGATCAAAACCGAATTGTTGTCTGACACTGAAAATACGACAACCGAAGTGGCTGACGAAAAAGCACAACTTGTGAAAATTAAGGATGAGATGGAGAGATTGATCAAGAAAGAAAGGCGTAATAGCAAGCATCAAGAGGCTGTGAAAATCAATGAAACCAATGCTACGACTGTTGTCAGTTTCGCGGATAAGAACCTACCAGAAGAGAAGCCTGAGCAGTTCAGTTACAGGCATAGTTTTGTCGACAATACCTCCGATGAAGAAATGCACGAAGCAGTGAAGAAAGAAAAGGCTGAACGAAGGGAAAAGAAACATAAAAAGAGACAAAAGAAACAGAAACACCTATTGAGTGAAGACGAAACGAAAATAGACGTGGCAGAAGGTAACCAGACAGATGAAAAAACCAAACTCCACGAACGCAAGAAGGAGCATAGCAAAAAAGAAAAACGACGAGATAAAACACGGGAAGGCAAAGAGAAATCTAAGAAAAGCAAAAAGAACAAGGATCAAAAGTCTGATGGAAAACGTGAAGCTAAGATGGAAAATATATTTGGGTCCCTCTCTGAAGATTCAGAAAATGGTACGAAAGAGCCTGAACAAGAAGAACAAAAACAACTCGAAAACTTTATGGATGAGGAAACAGCTCCAAGACCGACTATATGCATCAGCGAAGCCGAGAAAGAACGAGAACCAAAGACACAAGAAAAAGAGGAACGTGAACGAGAAAGGGAAGAGCATAAAAGACGTAAAGAAAAGAAACGTCGTGAGAAAGAAAGAAGGTTAAAAGAAGCCCAGGCAGCTGCCGAAGCCATCAGCAATGAAAATAGCATGGACTTTGCCGATATGGGAAAACAACTGGAAGCCAATATGATGCAGGATGAAAGTCTGGATTCTGCGGAGAACAAAACACCTGAGGGAATACCTGATATTTCTAGAGACAATTCGTTCAACTTCACTGGTTTAAATGATGTATCAGAACACAGAGACAAAGAAGAGCGTAAAGAAGGCAAAGAAAAGAAGAAAAAGCGGAAAAAGAGTAAAGATGAGAGAGGAAAACACCATCATCATCACCACCACGACAAAAACAAGACGAAACCTCCAGAGGTAAAGAAAGAAGCTTCCTCTCCCACAACAGAGGTACCTCTTGTTGAGGTGGTACCTGCAGAACCAAAAAATACCCCTCAACATCCTAGTTTGCCTACTCTAGATGAACCATCTCCTGTTGAAAATGAAAGCCCCGCTTCTGATTTTCTATGCGTATCGCCAATTCCCAGAGAGCCACCTCTTATAAGTCCAATACCAAGCACCCCTACTACTTCGAAAGAAAAGAAACGTGACAAACTTATACCTGGCTTTGGTACAGATATCGATGAAAAACTACACGAGTCAGCTGTCAAATCAATTTCAAAAGAATTCGAACCAGTAGTAAAGAAAGAAGAGATAAAAGAAGAAGAACCTCAAGTAGAATCGCAGAAAATAGCTGAAGAAAAACCACGTGTGATAATATCTCAAGAAGAAACTGAAGATGCGGTAGCTGCACTTTTAGGCGAAAGTTTTGGAGATGAACAATACAACGAAGAAATCCCTACACCTACTGACCAACCCATCCCGCTAGTTGAAGAAAGCATTGTTCAGGATGATGAAGAGATGAGACAAGCAGTGCAAAGTCTAAGCGCCACTGATGGAGACCTAGATGTCAAGCCCGATACTCCTCAAAGTGAACATGAGTTGCAGATCGACACTGACACTGAAGAACAAGATGAGGTAGCCAAATATGAACCCAAGACACCTGAGATATCTCAACCGACTACACTTGAGTTCTATCCGGCAAGGACTGAGCCAGAGAAAGTTCCGACCATCCAAAACCCGATTGTTATTAAGACTACGGCAAGTATAGTAGCTGCTCCAAGTAGTCCACCATCTCTAACTCCTATAAAGTCTGCTGTGGAAGCAAAGAAGATCATTGAGCTGGAAGCTCGGAAATCGATAGGGCTAGAAGCTCGGAAATCGATAGAGCTAGAAGCCAGAAAGTCGATAGAATTGGAGTCAAAAAGCTTGCCGGTGTTACCGGAGCATAAACAAGTACCTGTGGTAACCCAGTCTTGGTCCATGGAGAAGAAAATTGAGATGAATGATCCTACGTTGCTCAAAATCGAAAACCGGCCATCAATCGAACCTACAAAGGCTCCTCCGTTAAGGCAGTACCCAGGTCCCACGCTGTTGAAGCTATCAGAACCTACGGTTTATAAGACCATAACGAAACCTGAACTGCCGACGCTAACACCTGTTGTGGACCCGCCGAAAATCATACAAACAAATGTCTCAAAATCACCAACATCATCTCAGATGCACAATTTACCTGCGAGGTCACCTGTACAGTCCTCAAAACCGTCGATGTCTTTGCATGATCCAAACGTTCCATCCAAGATCACGACAGGTTTAGTACATAACAGGTTGCCTATAACTCCAGTTATGGCGTCAAAACCGATGCAAGCAACTACTGTCATTTTACAGCAATCAAAGCTACCCCATACCCTAGATCCACCCAAGTTGGTTCCCACTTCTGAAAGGCCAAGAATGGTGTTCCAAGCATCAGCACAGCAATTCGCAAACTTTGCTCCTGGTCAACCTAGGATGATGATACAAGGAAACATTAGGCATCTACCGCCCCAAGGGCTATTGGTCCCGACTAGACAGATTAATCCACAAACCTTCAGTTATTTGAGTCAGCCGAACTTCAACATGCCACCAGTTATCAAAGATGGATCTTCAGCAGTAACACCTCAAGACAAACCTCAGATGGAGATGAAAGTACCACCATTGAGCATCGTAACCACTCAACCGTCTACTCATGTTCCTCTTCATTTGCCGCCGATGGTTCCCAAAGAGCATACCTCGAAACCTCCAACTCCGACATTATCCAGTCCAAGGTTGACAACGAGCACACCAAGTCCCAAGTCGTATAAAGCAGCCTCACCTTCTCCAAGACCTGTCAACGTGCCGAATTCGCCGATTATGCCAGCAGTCAGTCCCAAACCAGCTTCGCTAACTCCGTGCCAGAGTCCGAAGATATCTGCTACGGCCGTACCTACGCCTGTTTCGACCGCCGAGTCATCTCAGTCAGACAAAAGTGAACTGATCTCGTCCACGGCTGAGATCGCATCTTCTAACCTCGAAATCGTCAATTCCAAACCAGAGATCATACAATCTAAGGTCGAATTGCCTCCTTCATCACCACTTAAGCCTGAGTCTGCACCTGTGGAGCCTGTTACAACACCTGAGCAGCCGAAAATCGTCGAAGTTCAGATACCTGAGACTGTGACTAAGGCTCCCACTTCGGTACCGAGTAGTGTGATCATGTCTCCAAAGGCACCGAAGGACGAAGAACCTAAGGCGGAGGCTCCTAAAGAAGAGGTAACAGAGTTGCCGAAGAAATTGGCTATTGAAAAGGTAAGCATAATTACTATTTGGCATTATTTATTAACCCAAATAAAGTGTGGGTCAAATGATTCTTTCAAGGAGATGGTAGGTTAGTATTGGAAATGCACTATCTCTCCCTATGAAGTTTTTTAATATATTAGGGTTTTTGAATGGAAATTTGTTGCGAGACTATTTAACGCCAATCATCTGTGTCTAGGTAACTGATGAGCTGAACGTGAGCCTCAGAGCGGAAATTCCAGAGGTCAAAGAAGAACCGATGGAAGTAAAACCAGAAGAAAAGCCCAAGATAGAGCTCAAAGTGGAGCCAAACATTGAGCCCAAGATTGAACCTAAGGAAGAACAACCAGCTATGGTTCCCGCTAAAGAAGAACCCATCAAAGATTGTCACTCTGACAAGGAAAACGCTCCAATAGAAAAAATGGACGAGGAAAAGACGGAAACCGAAAGCATAGTATCCGACGTAAGCAAAGAGCGTTTGAGCGCCGATATCCTGACCAAAGATGATCCATTGGATACCAAAGAGGATAGCGATTATTGGTCGGCGAAAGAAGTAAACATCGACTCTGTGATAAAGACGCTGTGCTCGGCAGATGAGTTATCAGATCATAGCGAGGGCGAGACTGCCAAAGATGAATGGCTTAATAATAGCAAAGTAGAAGAACCTACGAAGCCTGAAATCACTGATAAAAAAGAGTCCGAGGTTACACCCGAGAAAAAGGAGGTTACGTTGGAGACGAAAGATGACGAAGCTCATAATATTGATGAGAGTGCCGAACCTGAAGATAGTACACAGAAAGAGGTATAGTAAAAGTCCATTAAACATATTTTAATGATTCATGCTTAAATACCCGCAGGGTTATTTATGTAATGTCAAAAAACGATTAAATGTCAACTTGTTGACTAAGTAGGCAAGTGTGCAAACAATTCATTCCGCGCTTGCTACAGGTGAGCATGAAGTGAGCGACAGCTAGTGTCAAGTTGACTTCTTGTAGGAAAACCAACATAATGTAAAAAAAACGACATAATGTCACTTTTCAAGTCACATAATACCCCTGCTGGTATAAATGGTTCGATAATAATGAAACCGTTAAAATTCAAGTTGAAATCCATACAATATTTTGACAGGAATTTTCGTAATCCAGTACTCCATCTATTTAAGTTGCAAACTGAATAACAATACTTCTGTATTACGATCATTTGACAAATCAGATATGTGATGAAAAGTGTCTAATAAAGAACAATAAACATTAATTGTATCAAGAAGATTTTATCAAAAATAAAATCAAATCAAAATAAAAGTGAGATTTTGTCTAAAAGTGTGCTTAATTAGTATTGTGATATTATTAGAGCAAGAATATAAATCCTGATAAATTACTGTTTAAAATATGATAAATTTCCAACAAAACTGAAGAGTCCTACCATAACTCCTGTTTTGAAAGTTAAAAATTCTGAGTTGTATACCAATATACGGCCAATAAATGTTGTGCCATATGTTGAAAAAGTCTTTGATGAAATTATTTACGAACAGATTGTCGAATTTTTTACTGCTTTAAAAATGCTAAATTCTGACTTGGCAAAAATCATAAATTGGTTGCATGTAAATAAACTAAAATTAAATATTTCTTTTTATATTTAATATAAAAAATCATCTTTTGCCACAAAATTTATAACACTACATAGAATTGAATAATCATTACCACAATTACTATACAAGAGGAAATATAGATTTTCATTTACAAAGTTGCAGTGGTAATATAACTGGCAAATCAATATTTTAGAAAGGATTACTTGAGTTTAATAAACTGAATAATGATATAAAGTCTACTTGTAATTTAAAGATGTTTAAAAGCAAATTAACGGAATATTTCATGGACTGTGGAAATTCTTAGAGATGCAATTTTTGTTTTTTCTAAATATCTGTATGTTATGTAATTGTTTAGTTTTTTGAAAGAATTTAATTGTAGCAATCATACTAAATAAATCTTCTTCGTCAGGTCGTGAACGTGGTAGTGATTTTTGAAGATTACATTTTTCAGTAACTATACCGGAAGATCAAAATTGATAGCAATTACCTAGGGTGTTCACGATGGGCGGAGCGGTAGTGGGAGAATTTTCCATGTGTATGCGAACTAGGTTTTATAATAAGTGTCAGTATAAAATATCGAACTAGCTTATTCATAATCATTTAACCAGATATTTGACAATGTCAGAGTATGACACAAGGTAACAATGTAACTATGGCTAATTTGTACGATTTAACATATTTGATAAAAATATTTGCAAACATTCTTACAGAGAGTTATCTCGGAATACTGTACTATGATTTAGTTGAAACCCATATAATATATGGCATCACAGCCTGGGGTGCCACCTGTAAGACATATATATTCCTGATCTAGATGTAGCACAGAAAACTAGTTTAAAAGCCATTTTCCATAAGCCAATATTATATCCGTCAAACAATTTATATAAGGAAAAATTCCTATAAACACGCGCATCTAGTATCCAAAGACCACACAAAACATTATTCAAAAAATCGTTTAAACTCTTAGCAGCGAGATTATTATATAATGTGGTATCAAATGAAATAAAAACTCTTAAATTTTGATAAGAAATTAAAAGACTGGGTTTGTACTGAGCATCGAATGCCTGTACATAATTATATAAAAAACATAAATTGCAAAATCAAAATTTTGTAAATACTTTTTAGCATTATATTTGTTATACACATATGGTTTTTTCAGTTGGTTAAATATCATATAATTGACACACACGTAATGCCTTCTGTTTTTTTATGTATGTATTTTGGCGAATAAATATTATTAGATTCATAGTCCCACTGCTGCTCGCCCATCTGAATGTACTAGTCTAATCATATTAGACAAAAATACCACTGATTTGATTGTAAAGTCTGGTTTTATTGCTGCAAGTTGTTCAAGAGGGTATTCAAAACATGAACGCATAAAATGGCAAAACTTTTTATCCGCCAACAAATAATGAGAAAACGTTTTTTGGAATTAAATCGAAAATGTTGACAGGAACGAAAAAACTCTTCATACGAGATTTTGAAAAAAAAAATGAAACCACACGTAAAAAGATCCGACGAATAGCAAAACAGTTATGGCCGAAAAGCGAGGCAAACTGCAGGTTTTGCCACTTGTTGGTAATGCGACGATGGTTTCTCGCAGATATTTGAAATTCTTCAAATTCGTAGGATTCGTACTTCTAAGTAACTACAACAAAATTGGACTAGATTGGTTAAGTAGTTTTTGAGAATTTCTAATTGTTTATCCCAAAACACCTGTCTCGGGGGTTAGTTCAGAGGGCATTTTATAACAAAATACACTGGTTTACCTTGCCGATATGAATCGTATTTGTGAGTAATTCGCAACAAAAGATGATAGACACATCCGCTTTGTTTTAAAATCTGTATAGTACCGTATGTTTTTCGAATATCTTAGCGCATTTGTTCAGTTACTCATGAATACAAAATGTTTGAATTTATTTAGAAGAAAAAAACATAACCCTTGTTTTCCGCATAAAAATAACATCTACCTTTCGGAATCGTTTGTGATTCATATCGGCAAGGTAAACCCGTGTATTTAGCTAGTAAATGCTCATCGAACGAACCCCTGTATATTGCGCAATAAACTAGTAGGGATGGCCGGAAAACAGGTGTTTTGGGATAAACAATTAGAAATTCTCAAAAAACTACTTGACCAATATAATCCATTTTTCTTTTTGTTATTTAGTATGTATACTACGGATTTGAAAAATTTCAACTAGTTGCATGAAATTGTCGTCGCATTACCAACAAGTGCCAAAACATGCATTTTGCCTCGTTTTTCGGTCATAACATTTTTGCTATCAGTCAGATCTTCTTATGTGTGGTCTCATTTTGTAGCTCTCATAAATACCTAAAAATCTTGTATGAAAAGTTTTTTCGTTCCTGTTAATACTTTCGATTGAATCCCAAAAAACACGTTTTCTCATTCTTTGTTGTCAAATCAAAAGTTTTCCCACAAAAATTGGTGTAGCCATTTTATGCGTCCATGTTTTGAATACCCCCTTGAACTTCTTGCGACAATAAAACCAGACTTTACAATTATTTCGCGGAACTTTACTAATATAATTAGACTATACGTATTTTAGCTCTTACTAGTTTTAAATCATACATTTTTTTTAAAATATGTGGGTATTCTCATTTTTGAAATCTGGCAACTGCGGGTTTTCAGCAAAATAGATGAGTCTTTGCCATCAGTTTTGATCTTCGGGTATAGAAGTTTCAGACTTTGAAAATGTTGAATTCAATAAATACTCCTTGATGTGTTGAAAAGCTTAACATGCATACAATATCTCCTTTCAGACGAATGAGGTTACCACTCCACGTAGCAGTAATCCAAGAGGTCGTGGCGGCAGAGGTAGACGCGGTGGCAAAACGCCCACAACCCGCGCAGCTACAGTCGAACGAGGAGGCATTCAAACTAGACGAGGAAAACTGAAAGAACAGGTTGTCGCTACCACTCCTGTGAAAAGAGGCAGGGGAGGTCGACCGAGGGGCGGCGACAGAAAAACGAGCAAGACCGAATCGGAGAATGCATCGACGGATGTCTACGAGTTTAGGGATGAGTCTGATGAAGCGAATAAAGAACAGAGACCACGCTTGATTTTGACTATCAAAAGTCCTGCTGTTTCCAGCTCTTCTGGCTCACAGACTACGGCGATTGTTAAGGAGGTAAAAACATGGATTTTCCACTTCACAAGCGCCTTATCACTAGCAAATTTTTTTAAAGTCAAAAAATCGTTTTTAGCGCTGTCAACAATTTTTTAGGATACATGATAGGTTAAACTCTCTCCAAAAATAAACAGTTTTGTGATACATTTGACCCAGATTTTCACTCACGTAGACAATGTCGTAATTCCCAATTCCTCGGATTGTTTTAACCAAGTCAGAGATATAAGCCACATTTACCGATCTCTTGAATGACCTTTTAAAAACATTGCCCTACTCAGGTTACGAAGGACGGTGCAAAAGAGATCGTGAAGGAAGTTCCTTCTACAACACCACCAAAAGAACAGGTCACACCTATAAAGACCGAGTCCAAGGAAGACTTCACTCCTCCCACACCCACTAACACCAGGAAGTCGCGACGTCTACAAGAGAAGGACACATCGAGGAACGCGATCGATGATACTATCGATGACGTGGTAAAGAACACCACTGTTCAGACAAGATCAACGTCGCACCAGAGGAGAGCTACGCGACAACAGGGCGCTGCTTCCAAGCAAGTAACTGTCGCCCCTCTGCCAGAAACACCTAGAAAGTCGCCCAGAGGCAGAAAGGCCAGAAGGGGATCTGAGGCTACAGAAACTTCGTCTTCGGAAGAAACTACCAAGGAAGAGGTGAGTTATTTGTACTTTCCGAAAACCATACTCTACTGGTGAAAATGGGCAAATCACATAAAAATGTCCGTAGAAAAATTAAAGTAAGCCATTGGAGCCAGACATAGCTTTTTATTGTAGATATATTGAATTAGTACCATTGAAAATAGAATGATCCTTCAAATGTCGTACAGTATGTTACCACCACTATTACACAACTGGTCATCATTGGTAGCATATATGGTAACATTGACTTGATGGTGCGTGTTAATGAAAATATAGCATTCCGACCGGTAACGCCAAGTAATACTAGCGATTTACGCTCCCTATGATGGCCCAGCAATGTAATACCCATTGTAACATCCTGTATATGTATGCTTGTTATTTCCAGCAAACTAGCGAGCACATGTGATATACCAATATATTGCATAAATCTAGGTTATTACTTCTGAAACTTTCTTATATTACAACGGAATATACAGTGGATTACGATGGCATTTGTTAGCTTCAAATCATTTCATTGTTGATAAAAAGCCTAAACCATACAACCTGTATTTATCGTTGTAACGTAGGAATACCATCAGGAACCAAGTAAATTATGAATTGGAGGTCCCATCAGAAAATAAATAGGCCGCAAAGGATTAAACATACGTTTGCTAAATGCTACGTCTCGAAAAGTTGTTAAAAAATGTTTCTCAAAGGCCTTACTCTTCAAGCAGATATAGATCTAAGTACATAGATCAAAAATGTACATGATAAGTTCGACATAGTTGACCTATAATATTTGTTTACCGCAACCTAGCGTGAATGCAGTTGATAATTTATCATACTCAATGCTTATTTTCCTCTATAACTATAAAAAAGTAAGTATCTTTGCTTACATTTACTATTTTGGTATAGGTGAAACGTACAATTCCAACTCCACCTCCACCATCGCCTGCACCAACTGCAAAGGATTCGGAACCCACAAAGGAATCACCAGCTACAACAGAGAGTGAGATTCCAAAACCACCCGAGATGCCACCGAAAGAAAAACCTCTGGAGAGCCTGAAGGCGGCCATGTTGCGGCGTATCAAAGGCGAAATGGCAGCTAAAAATCAACAACTCCAACAGCATGAACCTACCAATCTCATCGATCCAGTTACTGGAGAGCTCATTCCGATGCGGGAGTGCGAGGAGGGCAAGTACATTCCCTTACCAGGATCTGTGCCGCCTCAAGAGGAGAAGAAGCCCCTGGTTGAACCTCCAAAGCCTCCTAGCTCGCCAATTTCTGCGGTACCAGATGTTATCACTACCAGTTCAACACTAACTGCAATCACGTCTCCAGTTGTCACCACGTCCATGGCGCCTGCCATCACCTCGACCATCGTAACAACCACCTATGAAGCGCTAAAACCATCGACTAGTGTGATATCTCAACCTCAGCAGATCGCTATAGTGCAGCAGGTGAAGCCACCAACATTGAAAGCACATGTACTGAGCTCACAAGCATGTCAAGCGGCTGTGATACAACCACAAGTTTCAGTGCAGGTCAAGGTAAATTATCAAACATCTAATTTATTTATTTATTTATACGCCATTACAAAAAATATATAAAATTCAAATATAATAACCAGTAACAAATGGAAACAAATATAATTTTAGCCAATGCCAACAACAAATAAAAAATCAAGCTAATTCTCTGATAATGCTTTTAAATCCATTTAAATGCCCAATATTTCAATGTCCTTAGTATTTATAAGATTTAGTGTCATCTCAACAGCCGAGTGCATAGCATAATTCCTGTTATGATGAGGTAACGTAAATAACAGGTTCACTTTAAAATTAAGTGATGGATCATTGAATGAAATTTTGTTAAATCATTGTACTAAGCATTCTCTAAATGTTATATGTATTTTTTTGCAATAGGTAAATGCTTTATTATTATTATATTTCAACAAACATACTACAGGGTGCGGCAGAGAGGGCGGACGTTTTTGGGATGGGTAGTACTCTCCGCCTCCGTCTACGAGAGAGGTGGGGAGGGTGCCGTTTCACTCGTGAGATCCTAGCATTATTTTACCTGTTGTCGTTATGGAGCGTTGGACGGTGGAGCATCGCGTTTTCGAATATGCTTGTTTCGTCCGAAATAATGAGTCAGTCATTGTCATACAGCGTGAGTTTCGTCGCCACTTCAACATTCATCGGAATAGAGCTGTTCCCTCTCGAAACACCATCCTTCGTTGGGTTGAATCACTTCGCAGTCGTGGTGAACTGATTAACAGAAGACCAAGAGGAGCGTCGCGAACAGTTCGAACTCCTAAAAATGTTGAACGCGTTCGACAGGTCTTTCTTCGCAGTCCGACTCGATCTGCCCGGAAACATGCTGCTGCACTTCTCCTTAGTGATCGTTCGGTAAGGCGACTTTTGCATATGGATCTCCGCTTTCACCCCTACAAATTGGCCATTGTGCAACAGTTACGAAAGCGAACTTCCAAGAATGCCTCCAACACTGCATCAAAGATTTTGGCCACCACATACCTGATGTGATTTTCCACACTTGACTGTGTCAAATGCTATTTCCTTGTGAACCTGATTCCATCAATAAATTTGTTTTCGAGTAAAAATTAACTATTTTATGATTTTTTTAAAACCGTCCATCCTCTCTGCCGCACCCTGTATAAGTGACTTATATAATTTTGTTGTTATTATCTCTTATCCTTTTGTAGAGAGTATTTTTTATTTTGAAATTTAGTGCCCTCTCGGTTTAAGTAATAAGGAACTCTATCCGTATTGTGTTTGGATGTCGTGAAGATTTCAGAAATCGTGATTGTAATTTGCGAAAATTTCGAGATTTTCCTCGATCCTAGTGATGAAATTTAGTGATGCCAATGATCTGAAGACCGGTATCGTAGGAATAAAGTGGGAATAACGTCGCATATCTTGAGAATTTTTAAGTGATTTTGGATGAATCTAACTCGTGGTCGATAAAGTATTTCAGTCATCTTGAAGGCAGACAGGAAATAAACACTTATTGCAAAATACAAACTCCAACATTGAAATTATTTAGAACAAAGTGTATTTATATTTTTAGTATTCTCAATGAAGATTGCATTATTTATTATTTCTAGGTGGCACCAATTCCAGTATCAGTTCCGATCGTGTCATCAGTACCTCAACCACCAGTGGTAACAGTAGCAGCAAAACACGTACCTATGACAACTCCATCAAAACCTGTGATAACAACAGTAGTTTCAAGACCCATCCCCTCACCTGTGGTCGCAAAGGCTGCTGTACCCTCAATGTCCATCACAAGAACCTCTTCGCCCATAGTTATTTCCAAGATAACCACCCCAATCATTACTACCAAACCAACAACGCCGATGGTTACAAGAACACTGACACCTATCAACCAACATCTCACTGTGAACACCAGCATGAGTATGGGCATGATTAGTCCGTCGAATTTGTCTCCCAGACCGAACGTTTCGATGTCTGTAGCATCGAAACCAATGCCCAAACAGGTGGTGAAACCACCAGTACTGTCTCCAGTACTCGGGTTGCATAAACCAGCACAGCCTATCATCCAACAAGGCAAGCAACAGCCTATGGTCACTCAGGCCATGGTCAATACGCAGTTGGCCCATATGAAACAACAGCCTCAACAACAGCCCATTCTAAAACAACAACAGGTTATAATGGGCAAGGCACCGATCGTGAAATCCGTTCATTCGCTACACCAAGGGCAGATCCTGACTGGAGCAGTACCCTCACCGCAGTCACCTCTAGGGGCAGCATGCCGTATAATCCCACCTCCAATGGGCGCAGCAAAGGGAATGATGGAACCGCCCAAGGTGGACGTTTCAATGGCCAACATTATACTTGGACAAAGGGCCAAGCTGTCACCTCAGGCGCCGCAACAAAGATTGGCTGGCATGCCCTTGCCAGGATACGAGCCCAGCTTGGTAAGTGCTAAATACACCTTAATAACGTTTTTTTGCTTTGTAGATTTAAATTATAAATTAATGGGTTTGTGGCACTGTAGTTAAAAATTCGAAAAACGCAAATGGAGTTTAGAAATTCCTGTATTGATTTGTTAAGGAACCGTGTTAGTTGTAGATCCCCTTGATAAGTTCAACACGGACATACTCATTCGTATTTTTGTTGTAAAGAAGAAAAAAATATTGCATATTGTAGTTTGAATCTTTATTTTTATATTTTTGAATACTGTGTTTAGTTGTAACACCTAGGTTGTCCAAGGCCCTAATACTTAGAACATGTACGCATTGAACTAATTTTCCATTTGAAGTTGAGAAACTAATGGGGTTATTTAATTACTAACATGCAGCATGGAGAAAGGAGCTTGCTTAACCGCAGTAGAAGTCCGCCACCAGCTCACCAAAATTCACCATCACCAAAGGTGATTTTTCTTGTTTCAAATATACTCTGTGTTGTGTGTATTTATATCTTTGTTATTCCTCTGCTTCGGTATATGTGTGTGTTACTACCATAGACCTGAAAATCCTTGAGCTTACCCTTAATTACATTAACCTGCACATTAGTGTAATTATACTAAAAAACTATGAATAGCAACTTATACAGGATGTCCCAGAAGTCGACGTCAAGCCGGAAACGGAGGATAGGCCAGGTCATAATAGTTACTAGAAACATACATATAAAATAATCTAAGTCGTGCACTCTGCAAAAAAACTGAAAAATTTACACCCTGTAAAGATTTTAAGTTTGAACATTCATTGTGAATTTTATAAATATATTTCGAATTAGTAAACGTGGCGTTACTATCTGTCTTGCTGTCACTACGTAGAATGTCACTGTCTGTCAGTATGTCTAAGAAAAATATTGAAATTTGTATAAATGTGAACTAAAAGATCATCACATGGTGTAGCTTTTCCGATTTTTTATACACGACAGATACATGTTTCTGATAACTACAGGGTGGGCCATTTAAAGTGGAAGCATTTGTTTATAAAACAAACATACATTAAAAAAATATTTTTTGTTGTTCATTTAAAAAGTCTTTTATTTTGATCCAAGGATATTTGTTGTAATTACTTTTCAAAAATGATATCCCGCAAATGGCCACCTATGGCCTTGATAATCAAATGTGCCCCTTTTTCGGCTTTGGCCAATGTTTCGGCGGATAAGCCGACAATTTCTTGACGAATATTGTTCTTGAGGGCAGCTAGAGTCCTTGGCTTGTTAGCGTATACCTTGGATTTCAAATAGCCCCACAAATAAAAGTCTGGTCGCGTCAAATCAGGTGATCTCAGTGGCCAGTCAAAATCGCCATTTTTCGATATCAGTCGTGCAGGGAACAATTGTCGTAATAAATTGATTGTTGCTTGAGCTGTGTGGCATGTGGCGCCGTCCTGCTGGAACCAGCAATCTTCCATCTCATTTTCACAAACACCAAAACAAACAGTAACTTTTTGGTCATAAAGGGGCTGCTGTTCGATTAATTGAGGGTTTTCGGTAGCATAATACCGACAATTTTGTTTACTTACTCCTCCATGTAACAAAAAATGTGCCTCGTCGGACATAATGATTTTTCGCCAAAAGTTATCTTCATTTTCGGCCATTTCAATGCTCCATTTAGCAAAATCAAAGCGACACGGATAATCAGCTGGGTTTAACTGATGAGCCATTTGAAATTTGTATGGACACATCTTCAAATCCTTACGAATTATGCATCGGAGAGTGGTTCGAGCGGTGCCTAACTCTTGAGAACGATGACGACCGGATGTTGATAGAGTCTCTTCAACACTGGCTCGTATGGCGACGATATTTTCATCGGAACATGTTGTTCGTTATCTGGATAGGTGACTGGCATTGCTCAGACTACCGGTGTTCACAAATTTTGCGTATATACGTCTGATAGTGTTATCAGCTGTAGCACTTTTAGCTTTATTTTTTTACGAAATGCACGTTTAGTTTTCGCGATTAAGAAGTTATTTTGATTGTACAAATGAATAATTTCAGCGCGTTGTTTTGATGGTTAAAATTGTACTGAAATGGCGCTTCCAACGGGGTATGGCATTAGTCGATCTGTCACCTATGTCAAAGATAGGGTTGCTAGATGCTTCCACTTTAAATGGCCCACCTTGTAGTATGACTTGGCCTATCCCACGTTTCCGGGTTGATGGCGACTTCTGGGACACCCTGTACGTAGATGTAAAGCTGATGATTTAAGTGTACTTATTACGCCTTAAATTCCCAACAAGTACTTATTTGCTGTATGAAATTCTGTTTAAATGTTGTTTGCTGTGATGTGTTTATGTTTGTACTTAAAACCAGTTCAGCAACTAAATGTCTTTGAATTGTTTGTTATAGGGGGAACCAGTGGCCCACTTTTCTCCAGGACCTCTTCGACCACCACCAGATCTGACTCCAGCTCACTACATACATCCAACACACGTAATGCAGTACCAACAGTACCTGAGACAACAACTCCAGCTCACGAGGTAAGCCTCAACCAATGACGAATTACGTGAAACTTAAAATATATTGAGTTAAAACATTCTCTGATGGAGTAAAACGTTTTCAGATTTAATATCAATTGAAACAGCGTCTTTTTTCGGTTACGTTTTTTTTTTGCTGTTTCAATCGGAAATATAGCATAATATTTATTACTTTTTCAGAACGGGTATAGAAAAATTAGGCGACGGCCAAGAAGGAGAAGAAGCTCCAGTAACATCACCACCTTTGGAACTGAGAAGACCTGGATCTGTTGGGTTGGCTCTCACCAGTCGAGCTGCGGCTGTGCCGCACAGCTTGCATTCTCCTCACGACAGAGCAACAGGTACAGTACTTTGATTAATTTTCTCTCTAATATTATAGTGTATCCACAGGATCTTAAAAAATGTATCACCTGAAACATTCAAATTATGGGACTTACTAGTTTTTAGATCAGGTATCTTCTGGTAATGAAGATTGTTAATTATGTTTCATTTTCGCTTGTTGCAGACTCGCCGCAGATCGCGCAAGTATACAATGCCCCAGCACTACTCCCTGGCGCTGCGGTGGCGGCCCGAGGTGTACCCCCACCCACACCAACGGTGGCCCCCTTCACGCGTTACTACGACGGTGGAGAACCCCCTCCTGCTCATCGTCCCCTCACCAGTCACGCGGCAGGCTTAGCAGGCCTAGGCCCACCACCACATCCTCAACTGTCCATCGAACGCCCGCTGCCTTCTCATCACCTGGGGGCGGCTGGGAATCTTCTGGGAGCGGTCGCCAGGCATGCACCCAGCACTGCTGATGCACCTGCTACACAGCGAGGGCTCCAAGCCGCCACACCTCCTCACGCCAGCCAAGTGCCACCACAGGCGGAAAGTCTGTTCATGTTGCTCAAGGTAGGGGGATGAACACTTTTTTCTGAAGTTGCCTTAATCCTAGAAATGAAGCTTGCGCATTTATTTATTTATACCTAATTGCCCAACAGCCTAAACCAATTACAATGCAATATAATGGTAACTTAATAGAGTTCATACAAGAACCACATAAAACGAACTTAAAAAAAAAATAGATATTCTAATAGTCTCTGAAGTTTGAAAAATTTTTAGTGATCTGCTATGAAACTATAATTTTTGCATGTAGTATATAGCAGTGAATGGTATGGTAGAAAGTTTAGGGTCCTTCTTGAATTTAAACGCGGTGTACAAAAAATTAACCCCTGGAGAAGTTCTGGTGCACCACTTCGTCATACAAAAGCTTATGGAGGAATGTCAGGCCAGCAATGAAACTCCTTAATTGTAGAGACTTACATCACTGCAGAATAAATTGAGCGATCCCCTTTTCTGTAGATACGCCATCAATTTTATAAGTACATATTTGCAATATCTAAGAAATTTTCTTTCTACATTTTCTAAGATATTTGTATAATATCCAGAGAAGGGGTTCCATATGAAAGAACCGTACTCAAGTTTAGGTCGCACCAGCAAAATAAAAAGAGTCTTTAGTGCTGCTTCATTGGAAGAAGATCAACAGTTACGCATTGTAAAACCTAAAATCCGTGCCTATGCATGTGAACAACAAAAAGGCTTAGTTAAAGAGAAGCTGCAAGCAGAATCATTTTAGCGTGTCCATCTAAGATCATATTAACACATGAAAACAGTTTGAAAGGAAATAATGAAGGGAAAATTAATGTTAGTACAATAATGTTGTCTCATTAACTTACGATTTACTTTGCCTGAAATTTTATTAATGTAATAGTCTCTCCCTGCACCCTGCACATACGTTACCATTATATGAAAACTGTGACATACCTTCTTGTGTGAGAATAAAATTGATGAAAAACAGATACGATATTTTATTTCCGACGATCTCAAATTTAGAAAGGATTACATTTACACTTTTTTTATACCAAGTGAAAGCAGATGGGTAATAGTCTAATCATATCAGACGAAATAATTGTAAACTATGGTTTTATTGATGCAAGTTTTCCAAATGGGTATTTAAAAAATGTCGCATAAAATGGGTACACCAATTTTTGCGGGAAAACTTAATTCGACAACAAAGATTGAGAAAACTTGTTTTTTGGGGTTCAGTCGAAAGTTTTAGCAGGAACGAAAAAACTCTTCAAATAAGATTTTTAGGTATTTATGAGACCTACAAAATGAGACCACACATAAAAAGATCCGACTAATAGTAAAAAAGCTATAGCCGAAAAAATGTCAGCTCTGAATATGTATACAAAGGAGTATGAAGAAATCTTGAAAAAAAAATGTTTTCTTGTAACAAAAGGTGATAGATGCATCCGCTTTGTTTTAAAATGTGTATAATGTACGGTTTTTCTAATATCATAGCGAATATGTTACTCCCATATACGAAATGTTTTTAGAAGAAAAAACCTAACCCTTCGTTTTTCGCATCAAAATAACAATTATCTTTCGGAATGGTTTGTTATTCTAATCGGCAGTGCAAATTCGTGTATTTAGTGTATTTTGCTATAAAGTGCCCTTTGAATGAACCCTGTATAGTGCTCGGTAAACTAGTAGTGATGGCCGAAAGACAGGGGTTTTGGGATAAACAATTAGAAATTCTCAAAAACTACTTAACCAATCGATTCCAATTTTGGTGTGGTTATTTAGAAGTATAAAACCTACGGATTTGAAGAATTTCAACTAGCTGCGTGAAATGCTCGTCGTATTAGCAACAAGTGCCAAAACCTGCATTTTGCCTCGGTTTTCGGCCATAACTTGTTTACTATTCGAATCTTTTTATGTGTGGTCTTATTTTGTAGGTCTCATAAATACCTAAACATCTTATTTGAAGAGTTTATCGTTTATACCAACACTTTCAATTAAATCCCGAAAAACACGTTTTCTCTTCTTTGTTGTCGAATAAAAAGTTATCCCGCAAAAATTGGTGTACCGATTTTATGCGTCCATGTTTGAATACCCCGTCGAACAACTTTTAGCGATATCAGAGTCCTAATAGTAGTATTTCCATTTCAGCACTATCCATGCATGTGGCAAGGACTTCTAGCTCTGAAGAACGACCAAGCGGCTGTGCAGATGTATTTCGTGTCTGGCAACGACGATGTGGCTAAGTGCAGTCTACCTAAGAACATGGACGGCTCGACGCCACCACTTCGAATATTCCAGAGGATGAGGCTCGAACCACTTCAAGTGGAGGGAGTTGCTAGAAAGATGCAGGTTTGTAGAATTGCTATTTAAATAATACGTACTCCGGAAATAATTTTGTAATATCTATTAAACGAATATTAATTATTTGTATTTATTTGGTAAACTCAACTGTAATGTTTTCTTATAGATGGAGAACGAACACTGCATGTTACTGGCGCTGCCATGCGGTCACGATCATATGGACGTATTGAAACAATCAAGGAACTTAACCAGTGGTTTCATCACCTATCTTCAACAGAAGCAGGCTGCTGGTATTGTAAATGTTGCAGCACCAGGCACTACTCAACCGGTAAGATTCTTATAATTCATTGTTACTATTTTTTCGATCCTTTGATAGTGTGCTAGTGGGTTCTAGAAAACGTTATACCTCCTATCATTTTGCAAAATGAAAATGGCAAACAGCTTTATCTTTAAAACTGGAACAAGCGGATTACTAATCTCTAATATATTCTCATGAACATGTCAGAATGCGATTTCTGTAAATTCCTATTTTAATACATGCCCGGACTTTGACTAAAGACACTTAAAAATCAATATCTTCTGCAGTATACAGGGTGTCCCAATATTCCATTGAACATAATTTACCTTTATGCAAAAGTGCTTCGTTTGCCTGTTAGAGGGCGTCCAAGTTTTCTTGTTAAAACACATTCTTTTCAGATATTTTTGAAAGCGATAGTCCTATTTTAATGAAATTTGGAACACTTGAAATATTTTGCTAGAAAAAACTGAAAGGGTGCGAGAACTATCCGAGATGACCTGTTTTATGTAGGAAACGAAAAATGAAGTAAATAAAAAGATCTGCTAAAAAAATCGGACTTGTCGGGAAAGTTGCTAAGAAATTCTGCTAAAATTGATGTAGGGTTATGGGTAGTTTTCACTCTACTCGAACCCTCTAGAGTTTTACCTAAAAGCCACATATCAGAACGTCTAGCAAAACATATATGTTCTAAATTTCAATCTAATCGGACTACCGGTTCTTGAAATATCTTGAAAAATGTGTTTTAAAAAGAAAACTGTCGCCCTCTAACGGACAAACGATGCACTTTTGGACAGAGGTAAGTCATGAACATTGTCCAAATTGACTTATTTCGAGTCTAGAAATACATGGCACTTCTACGTCTACGGAATATTGAGACACACTGTATATTTCAAAGCACCTTCCCCCGTTTCAATTTGAAAATTATATATTGCTGTTGGTCCGGGTACGAAAAAGCAAATGCCCATGCTCCTCTTGAAAAAATATTTGATTCTTAAGATTCATTTTTTAAGTAGACAGAAATTATCGTCACAGGACAGTGATACTCAACCAATGCGACGCCCCTAGCAGGCGCTATAAAACTTCAAAACTTCAACAAAAATATACTATCAACAGTTTTTTGGAGATGTACAGTAATGGACAAAAGTATATAGACAAATATGAATATTTACCTAAACACCTTTAGAAAACGATATCATACTTCATTGCTCCATAAACGAATGCGTTATTAGTAGAAAAACTAAATTCCTTGTTTTTATATTATTTGCAATGAACACAATACAAGTCTGAATATAAGCACTTTTTTATGAGGGACAAAAATATGTAGTCAAATTCTTTTCAACATTAGTTTAGTACAGTTTCGTGTAGAACAGGATTAGTTTGTGTGCATCAAGTATTGTGGAATAAGTTGAGTGATTTTAAGACCATGCCGCGTGGTGCAGAACTTTCTTTCGATGTAAAAACTAAGATCATTGAGTTATACAAAGATGGTCAACATCAAGTCGACATTGCCAAAAATTTGAAACTGAAGCGTTATTTAAAATAAAAAATCGTCTTTTGCCACAAAATTTAGAACATTACGTAGAATTGAATAATCATTACCATAATTATTACTCAAGAGTAAATATAGATTTCCATTTACAAAATTGCAATAATATAACTAGCAAGAAATATTTCAGGAAGGATTACTTGAATTTAATAAACTTAATAAAGATTTAAAGCCTACTGTTAATTGAAAGATGATTGAATGGATTTAATTGAATTACTTCAAATAAATTAATCCTGTTTTTATTCATTTCTAGCCTGCGTATGTGATACACATCTTCCCAACTTGCGACTTCGTAAACGAAAACCTACGCAGGATCGCCCCCAGCCTGCTAGAACGAGTCGCAGACATCGCTCATCTGTTGATCGTCATCACTACCGTGTGATTATTATTACTACAACATATATGGAATATGGTTTTGAAAAGGAAACCCTATGATTGCGTAATTCACAAATATCGAATATGATTTTGAAATGTTTATGTGGAAACCCTGTGATTGGGTAATTCCGAATTGTCTATCAATCTCATCTGTTGATGTATCTGGTATTAACTCTGTTATTTTCTGGAGTTAATTTTTTACAGCGATCGTGTGCGATTTGGATTTCAAAGTAATATGACTTAACCTGATATATGAAGATATTGTGATCAAAATTTGATCTAGACATTGAATTGTATAATCCAAAATTGCTACAAAAAACTGGGATAGTTTTCCGTTTGAAGCTTAGAAATCTTATTAGAAGCTGTTATATATCTTCTAAAATCTTAGAAGAAACCTTTTAAACATCAATGGATGTTGTGTAGAATCATAGAAAAAGCTAACTATACCGGTTTGAGTGGTTTTTTTCAAAGCACTTGGGCTATACTAAACCTGACGTATATGATATTGCTAAACAATTTCTTATGGATTTTCCAATCGAAGAATGACGATTAAAAAATGGTATATCAAACGTTGCAGAATGAAACGTTTAGTTGTACTGCGACATCCTGATTAACTTTTGATGAACCATTTTAATAAATATTGGGGATTTCATTAATGAAAATCACTCTTTACATATTGACGCATCGATTATGGTAACTAATTATTGAAGTTAATTACGATTTTTAGATGTTTTTCTCACAAAAGCACATTATCACGTATACACTATATTGTTGTCTCTCTTTTGCGTACTACTACCTACTACACACACAAAATAGTGACAAGGTTTAAAATTCAAATGCAGAGGCAAATAGGGATAGAAAACTTAACATTACCAATAAAATGACGTTTTGATGCTGTAAGGAAATGTTTTACGAGTTTTGTTTGACAAATTTGACATTATGCACTAGTCAATTTTCATGACATTGCAATTGAAGCATTCACCAGTGAATTGCATCTTCAGAAGCAGATCGAAGTTAATTCTTCTGCTTCTTCCCAAAAACTGATAAAACTGGGGTCTGTGGTCGGTATTTAATTAGTTGAATATTTGCTACAGGAATACTGGGAGTTTTGTTGCTATTTGCCTGACTATACTGCTTATTATGAATATCTACTTTTCGGGCACTTCATACTATAAATGGTCCATGTAGATTGACAAAAAAACTAAATTTCGAGGAGGGATGTATTATAAAAATAAAAGAACGTTTAATCGTCCGTAAGCGGACCTTATACTTAACTATTTAAAAAAGTATCACTGTGATTTCTTGACAAAACGTTATTATTATAAAAAATATATTTAAAAAACCGCTAAAAATAACCTACTACCTATTTAAGAGATCTCATATTGAATTTAGTTATATTTAAAATGGAAATGTCTTTTTATTTTCGTAAAAATGCATCGTATAAATTATTTCGGGTATCTTAGGATGTATTCTGGTCATACAGAACTTACTTTCCGGTCGTTCAGAGGAGAGTTTTTAGAATAAATAGTATTTGAGTTCTTCATTCAAAATATGTAGTTTTAGTTTTTGTTTTCCCCTGGGATACATGTTTTAGTTTATTTTCTTTATTCTATGATACTTCAAATAGTTTTGGGCCTCATGTTTCCATTTATATGGAGTAACTTCAGCTTTTTCAAAAATGTTTTAATCGCTTGCAATGCCTGATATCAAAATGCAAATGCACTGTTTCATTTTTCTATTACCTATTAGTGAACTAGTTACAGCTTCACACAAAAATCTAAAAATAATGGAACATAACAAACGCTATAGGTGAAACTACATATAAAAATTGCCCCCAAAGATGTCCAAATCTGGATTGAACCAAGTTAAGTTAGATTGCGTCAAATTTCTTAAGATAAATTTTACCCCTAACCACAAAAACGTCTTTTTTCGAAAATAATGCTATCCGGGCACAATTTTGTACAAAAAATTTTGAAAAAAGTACCGACACTATATCTACATAAGTTTTTTTTGTCCGGAACCCCTTATTGACCGATTTTTCCCAATTTTTGATATTGCAAACATAGGATATCAAAAGCTGGCTAACTTAAAAACTCAAATGTCCATTTTTTCAGATACCACAGTCAACATTTTTATTTGTTTCCCGGAAAATGGCGAAAATAGGAAAACCGTTTTTTTCATGATTTTCTTCAGTTTTTGACGTTTTTAGTGAGGAAATGAGTACCTGGCTAGCACGGTAACTCACTGTATATGTGTAGGTTTTGTGACTTAGCCAAGCATTCCTTAACTGACCCCAAATGTCAAAAATTAAAGAAAACGAAAACACGGTTTTTCCTTTTTTCACAATTTTCACAACGGAACCTGGTAGAATGCAAAAAATATATGTATACTTTAGGTTCTTGAGTCGCGAAGTTATAATATCTTACTCTCAAAATTCTTGAAAATCGAGAAAACCGGCGTTTTTCCGCATTCTAGAGATTTCCTGGACAAGAAATCATGATAGTGACCACGAACGTAAAAAAACACATTACTATAGTGAGTTGTGTTAGCCGAGTATTTTTTAACCTAAAACGTGAAAATCTGCGAAAATGCGGTTTTTTCCAATTTTTGCAATTTTCCCGGAAACAAATCAAGTTTTAGATTGTGGAACCTAAAATAATGAATAAAAATACATATATAGGTAAAGTTGTTAAGTCAGCTAGCTGTCTGTTTCAAATTCCAAAAATCCTATAAAAATGCGGTTTTCCGATTTTTAACCTATTCGAAAAATAATTTTTTCTCGAATCTCCCAGTTCCCCAAATCTATCAAAAATCACAATTATCTAGGATATAACATGTAGCATCGGTAATTTTTCCGAAATCTGTTGAGTAAAGTTGCATCAGTCAAAAATTATTTTAGAAAAAACACGTTTTTAAGGTTAGGGGACCTAGGGGCGACCAATCGGTCTTAAAATTTGGCTAAAGCGATTGGACCCAATATTTCCTAATGGAGATCAATCTATATTTGGATACACCTTTGGAGGCAATACTCATATGTAATTTCGCCTGCACTACAACCTGTTTCTAATAGATGTTTGTTGAAGCGGCGGAAAGTAATTTCTGAACATCCGCTATTCACACGGTGTCCTTGCAATATTTGCAAAGAAGCTGTGTGAATCCTTTTTTGTTTTTTAATCATCTTTCGGTAATAGATTTCGATAAGACGCTTTTAATGTTGAGCGTGTCCTGTTTTATTTTTTTTTTTTTGTATATCTGTTGTTGTTTTATTTATTTATTGCTACAAAAGAATTTGTACATATTTATTTTCGGTAAATATGTTTGAATTTTTGATTGATGACTTATGTTTTTACATTCCCTACACTTTTTTCTTTTTTTTACGTCGGTGAAATATCCGCATTTTTATGTTTGTGGAGAGTGCCCAATACGATTTTTTTCCTATATTTTGATCTGTAAACCTATATTATTTTGAGATAAGACTCTTTTTTTGGAAATATTCTTTTGGGGTTTGGGGAATAAGGAAGTTTAGGTTGCGGTGTTTTCTTCCAGACTGATGATTTATTATGTTGATAATTTGAGTCGAGCATAGTGTCTCTTTCAATACAGTAGGGAATGTAGAAACATTCGAAGACAATAGACTCCAACGCTCAGCATTGAAAGTATCTTTCTGGCTTTAAAGTTGTACATATTTAAATTTAACGTTACCCATTTGTAGTTTCAAATATCGCTATTATAAATATGAAGGCATATAGACATATAAATATTGTAGTATATATTATATAAAAGAAATCAATCATTTTTTAAATTACAATGTAATATATATGTGAATATAAAGTTTTAGTTTGGATAATTTAACCTCCTTTCTTTGAGTTTGTTAAGATGTTCTGTACAGTGTATTCTAGCTGTAAGTAATACATTAGGCTGCGTTTCAAATGATTAAGTGTAAGGAACATTGTGATGTCTATATATATGTAAATTTTGTACATACATAAAAATACTATGTATTGTGAGTATACATTATTATAACTATTACGATAATTTTTGCTTTTTCTTTCAAACCCCGTTCCCATACACTTTGTAAAAAATGGCGTCGAGGAGGTTGACTTCCTACGCAACGCTGTCATCAGTTCATACAATTAAAATTACAATATTTCTGTACAATTTTGGGGCTTTTTAGTATTCGGCTCCCTAAGAAAATACGCTATCCCTCGCTCGTCAAACATTTTTTTAAGGCCGATATGCTTTCACACCTTGTTATCTCTTACCGATGGATGTCCCTCCCCCTTCCGCTGAGAGTTGAGACCGACTGCTATATACAAGCATCAGCAGGACCACAAAGCGTATGATCAACACGTGAGGATCGGAAATGTTAATCCACCATTGGATAAATGTACGGGGAAATCTTTGATGAAATATGTAAATGAAAAACATTGAGCTATACCCCCATACAATTCCCCATCCCCATTTGTTTACCCCCAAAAATTTTCAGGACACTCTGAAACTTCAAAAAACGAAGTTGAGCGATTTTTAACATTCAAAATGAGGTCCAGGGGTAAACAAATGTTAAAGCTAGTGCAGGAACAAAAAAGCTGTGAAGACATAATATGTCAGTTACCAATACAAAATAAGTTATTTCTGATCCTACACACCTATCATGCTGCTCAGAAAAATATAATACTACAAAGAACCTTTATCTATGGAATGAATGAATTGTTTTTTGTCTAGTTGAATATGCACAGAATCAGCTTAAAATCATTTAAGAAAGGCATTCGGATGAATATGGTTTTTATTCGGCTACTCTGAAAGCCCCAATGCATGCAAGAAGGTAAACGCTTTGATTTTCAACAAAGTAATAATCATACACGTAATATAATCCAATCAGAAGTCTTTTCATCAAAAAATGGGGGATGTTTAACCCCCTCACGGAAATTTAAGTTTCTTGATCTTTGAAAATGCGTTGCGAATAGGAAATGCAAAAAATTAGCTTAAAAATCATCCAAGAAAGGTACACTGATTAATATATCTTTGATTCGGCTTCTCTCCAATAGATGGCGCTGCATATCGGTAGCCACCACAAGGTCCACCATTTTAAATGACTACCTTCTGCTGCCGAAATCCGAAATCCATTCAGTAAACCCCAATGCATGTAAGGAGGAGGACGCTTTGTTTATCAACAAAGCCTAATCTAATACGTAGTATTAGAATATATTAAAATAATCTCAAACAAAATATTTTTATCAAAAAATGGGGGGATTTTTAACCCCCCTCACGGAAATGTAAGTTTCTTGATCTTTGAAAATGCGTTGCGCGTAGTCTTTGATATAAGGTAGCTAGTCTTTTACTTTCCACGCTCCACGCCAACTATCTACGAAGTATTGAAATCCCAAAAAGAATAAAAAAAAAGTCGGTTTGTCGGTCTGTCTGTCCGATAATCCTTTGCCTCGCTATAATTTTGAACGTACTTACCAGTCGGATTTTGATAAATGTGACAAATCTAAAACCGCAAAAAGCTTTGTAGCTTTTTAAAATCGCACGAATCGCGGGAGACCGACAGGCAAAAAACAAAAGTCGCTCAAGCTTCGTTTTTTTAACGGTTTAAAGGCTCTTCTTTTATCCTGGAACTTCCACGGACTCTAGCGAGATAGATACGTTATGGTACCTCCTCGTTCGATTATCAGAGACCGTTTACCACCAACACCCATAGCCACCAGAAAAATTCTCTTGGGACGGGATACGACTCAAAATTTTCAATTTTCATCATGATAGAGGAGGTATATGGATGCTATTGGAGATAGAGCTAATTATAGAGTTTAGTTTCAACTCATTGGATAACGCTGCTTTCAGAGATATTCGAAGAAGAAAACTAATAGTTCAGAATAGTGTCCAGTGAGCATTACAGTTAGAACCACAATGTTGGTTCAACTAAAAAAAATTGCTGCCTTCTGATTTCTGATTAATTGGAAAAAGTATAAATTTACAAATTTTGTAAATTATACTTTCCTCCAAAAAATTCAAACTCGGAAAATGGCAGACGAATTCTGTAAGCTGCATGTGCAAGATACTATTGCGCAATGTTTTTCCTCATTCAACCAACATTGTAGCTCTAACCATTTTTGAAATCACGTTCCTCAACTTGGGCAGTCTGTATACTGAACTATTGGTTATTTGCAAATATTAGCTATATTGAGACAATTAACATTTAGCAACGTTTTGATGCATTTATAACATGCTGACATCTTTTGTCATTCAATTATCCAATAACATTACACCTCCTCTAGCATGATGCAGATTACAAATTCTAGATAAAAATATTTAAAACTAGCTCTGTAAAGGGCAGTACGATGAATTTAGATGTCCTAAAACAAAATTCAACTCATATAGAGCGATCGGGCGATCCCTTTTCTTTAAATAAAAATTAGTATTGTACATTTTTTGTTTGGGAAGGCATTCGAATTGTTAGTCCAAGAGAACAATGAAAAATTTGAAAAATATCATTTTTGACTCAAATATCTGCTGAACGAATTGTCAGATCGCAATTTGAAGTCCATTTTGGACAATGTTACTCCGGAATAGTCACATATTGCTAATCCTTTCGAATGACAAGACTAGCGAAGAAATGGAAAATTTGCCAAAACTTCTTAATTTGCATTTTTGCTGAACCGTTAAAGTTTGAGCACTTTTCCAGACTGAACCCTACGACCTAGGACCCTGAAATTTCACAAAGCCTCATAGCTCCTTAGCCCAATCTGAGATATGGCCTGTCATAGAATTAGAGTTTTGACCCATACTTATACAGACTGTCTGCGAAAGGTTCGCAACGTTGTCACACGAGTGGAGACTATGGACCAATCGCTTGGGCCTGTTTGGCTGACTTGATCCACTCAATTTTTTAATCATACATGTTCGTAACCAACTTTTATTCTCAGAGGGATTAACTTGTGCCGAACATATCAATGACTGATGATATTTGGCGCCCTTTTCTCTGTGTGTCGAAACATGTTACTCGCTTTGCAACCTAATTATTCTTTTTTGAATATCCATTTCCTGTGGTAAACTATTTTTCTTGTAAGTAACTCAAAAGCAATACTTTCGAATCAAGATAGTATTATAGTTACGCTGACCACTGAAATCTTTGTGAAGTGAAACTTCTTTGGTACAGTGTGCGCATTGAGTGACAAAAAAAAATGGATTGCATTTTTTCGTTGCTTCTTGTACATATAACATAATAAGCTTTAATCTTAGCGCTCTAAGGATGTTCAGGTGTTTTATGCTCTACAGGCATGTAGAAAGGGTTTGTATCTATTTATCGTGAGATTAAGCAATTCTCGACAATGTAACAAAAACATATGTAGTACATATACTAAGCGACATATAAATCCGAATACCCAGTTTAAATGGTTTTATTTTAATAAAATTTTGTATAAGTACTTAATGAAGCATAATAAGTAAATGATAAAAATTTCAAAATGATCGCACTGCTTTAAAGCCCTTTGACCTTTAATAATGTGTGGATGCACCCTGATGTGCTACGCATTCTCCAACGCGCCTAGGCATGCTTCTGATCAGGTCGTCAATGTCCTCCTGTGGTATCTCATTCCAGGCAACCACCAACTCCTCTCGAAGTGCTTCTAGAGTCTGAGGAGGACGTTGCAAATTGAGCAATCTCCTACCCATCATATCAATTTTTGTTATTATTTCCTTTTCCGTATTCCGCACTAAATCAGCATTTTCCTTTTTAAATGAAAACTTGATCGGCCTACAATATAAAGTAGATGAAGGGCTCTCATTTTTCCACAATACCTTATTCGTTTCCATATCAATCAATCTGAGTGACGTCATTGCTACAAGAAACAGAAATTCGTCGGTGTTTTCTAAATCAGAAAATTTCTGCTTATATTAAATCCCCACTTGCATATCACTTTAATCCGGCAATCTCTCTCTTCAAAATTTATTTCAAGGATACTTTCAGCTGTTTTCTGTAGAAGTTCTTGCAAATCAACTTCTGCAGAAATTTCAGTAATAATAAATTGTGAAGGGAGGATAGCATTTTTTGTTTTCTGTAATTCTTTATAACTAGGAAGGCAGTTCTGGGCCTTACCATTAATAACAGACCTAAGTAGCAAACACTTTCTTACGGATATATCCAAATCTACCATAAGGGCTAAAGCTTCAGCTGTACTAAAACTAAAAATTTGTGGCGAGACCTCACTGTGATTGCTTCCCTTCCATTTACAGCAAATTGAAGTTCATTTGCAGATCTGTCTGTGGTTAGTTAGGCTACACGTCTTCGTTTTGTTTTCTTCGATGCCTCTTCAAATGGCACCCGTGGCCGTCCAACTGAGCGACAAGGAGGTTCTTGTTCCTCATCCGAAGATGTGTTTTCTTCAGAATCATTATTTATTCTATATATAATCTTGTCTAAGCCATATACCTGATTTTGTAAAAGTCGATTCCGAGATTATCCTACTTTCTGCCATTTATTTGCCATTTTCAACAACAACTGGCTGCATTTCATAATATTACTTTTAAGATGTTTGGAAGGTTCATCTGTTATATCAATGTGAGATAATATCTTTTCATAAACCACCTGTTTTCTATTTCCTCTCGGTGCTTCTATAAACACATCAATCAAATCTCTATTTCTGACAATAGCACCATGTCTTAAAAAAAATTATATCTCCCTTAGACGTGGCATGACGTGCTTTAAACTTTTTATCAAAACTTACTATGGACAGATAAACAATAATTAAAAATTTTTTTAGGGTGATGGGAGGTGATTTTTGTAAAACTCTAAACAAAATCAAAAGTTTAAAAAAATTAAAAAAGTCGGTAATAGTCACTTTAACTTAAAAAATTATCTAATTATAATTATATTTTAAATAAATCTATACATCAATATAATGTACTTACCAGCCTCATTACCAGCCATATTGGAAAAGTTAAAATATTTAAATATTTCGACACAAAATTTATATCTTTCCCGAGCAATAAAACAGAGAGATTTTTCGCCTTCTTGAGAGGTCTCGACATGTCTAACT